CTTTAATGCACGACAGTACAAAGGGAAAGCTCCAAGAAAAGAAGACTACTGTCAGATGAGTAGGAGGGCGCTTTGACGATGCGAGAACCAGCCAGTGTCCTCCGATGGTAAAAGCCATTGGGACAGCAAGCCAAGCACGTATTCGTGGATGCTTGTAAGATGCTGGCTCGACTCGAGCTTACCAGTCAGGTTTAAGGCTGCGAGGTCGTCTCCTTTCTGCTGTCGAAGCTTACCTACTTTGTCACTCTGCCAACGCTAGCGTCGTCTCCAGTGGGGCAGCTTGATGCGTGCTTACGGGCGTCTCTCTCATAGCTTGAATGATGCCAAGCATGGGCAGCATCATGGCGCATCAAACCGGCCGGGCTTACTGGTGACGACAAACGCTCTGCAAAGGGCACTGAACGTATGGTGAGGCCAGTCCTCGGAGATCGATGGACCCTTTGGGCATTCCGAGGGCCATGCAATGCAGAGCTGGGCGTAGACTATGCCATGGCACCAGTAAACCCGGCAGCCGGTTTGATGCGCCATGATGCTGCCCATGCATCATTCAAAGTCGAACCATTGACATGCAGCTCCAGCGAGCACGCTGCAGCTCTTCAGAATCTACACTTGCGCTTTGCATCGGCTCCGCGCGGTCTTCCGTCCGTGGCTTTTTTCGGCAGGCATCCCACGGCAGATCTGGTGGGAAGTGTCTTCGCAAATTCAACTCAACTACTTTCCACTAGTTGGTTCTACCCGCCGTCTCCGGTGGCGTGGCAGCTGATCGAGAACTTTTTGTGCCCTTGGGTGCCGACCGAGTTTGCGCGGGCCATACGGGCCGTTCCAGTATACGTGTGGGCGGTATGCATTTGTTGCTCAAGCGGCTGGGCTCTAGAGAACAGCGGCAGAGTCGCTCCCACCGCCGATTTGACGCCGAAGCCGTCGCCGACGAGGCACTCTATGGGACCGAAGCACTCATGAGCTGCCAAGCGTCGTTGCGAGCTGGAGCGCAAAATGTACTGGCGTCCGAGCATTCACGCGCCTCTAGAGATGGCGAGAGACAGCTTCTCCCCGACGTTCATTCTCATCTGCATGCGCAGTATCTCAAAACGTCTAACGTCATCATTTATTTGCTGGTGAGAGGGCCCAATTCGCTAGCGCGCACATGTGCGCATGTGAGGTGAGAAGCAAGAGGGGGGTGTTCGAACCCAAGGTTTGGAACTTAAAGTTCCAAACCCAGAGTTCGGAGCCTCGAACCCAGGGTTCAAACATCGAAGTTCCCTCCGAACCCTGGGTTCGAACTTTGAGTTGAACTCCAAGTTGAACCCAACTCTGAACTTCTTGAACTGGAGTTGAATCTGGAGTTGAACTCTGAAAGGCGAAGAGTTTGAACCCAGGGTTTGAACATGAGAGTTTCCGAACCCAGAGTTCGGAGTTGAAACCCAGGTTTCGAACATAGAGTTTCCGAACCCAGAGTTCGAACATGGAGTTTCCGAACCCAGAGTTCGAACTCTTGTATCATTGCTTCTTGTTCTCTCATTTTATTTTTTCGCAAAAACCACCATTAGCGATTTCGCGTGTCTTCTTCTTTTGCTTGTGCTTGCAGTTGAGTTTGTGGTTTCTGTCATTGTAGTGTGGTGCTCTCAGTAATTTTATTCGCAAAACTCACCACAAAGCGATTCTGTGTGGCTTCTTCTCTTTTTGTTTGGTGATTGTTGGTGTTCGAACCCCGTTCGAACTTTCGGGGGGAGTCTAGAACCCGGGGTTGGGCGGTTCATTTGTTCGCGCCTTTAGCATTCTCGTAGGAGACTTCATGTCCTTCTGCCCTCTTGAGAAGAAAGACTCCTCGTCATTGACAATCTTTTTCTTTGTTTTGTCTTTCTTTTATTTCTTCGCCAAAACCCCCCATAAAGTGGTTTCGTGTGGCTTCTTCTTCTTTTGTGGCAGGGACTGGTCCTTGGCAGTCTTTTTCAACTCCTCCTCATTGACAATCTGTTTCTTTGTTTTGTCTTTCTTTTATTTCTTCGCAAAAACCACCCAGAAAGCGGTTTCGTGTGGCTTCTTCTTCTTTTGTGGCAGGGACTGGTCATTGGCAGTCTTTTTCTTTGTTTTCGGCAAGCTTCTTTAAACAGCGGGGGGGTTGGGGGGGGCGCAGCCCCCCAAACGTGGAGTTCCGGAACCCAGGGTTCGAACGCCCCAGGGGGAGACGAATTCCAGAACCCGAGGTTCCAACATAGAGTTCCCCAAACCCCGGGTTCCAACATAGAGTTCCCGAACCCAGGGTTCGAACTCCCTGGGGGGGGGTTCCGGAACCCGGGGTTCCGGTATAGAGTTCTCCAAACCCCGGGTTCGAACATAGAGTTCCGAACCCAGGGTTCGAACATAGAGTTCCCGAACCCCGGGTTCGAACATAGAGTTCCCGAACCCAAGGTTTGAACATAGAGTTCAAACTCCAGGTTCAACCTGGGTTCGAGAAGTTCGAACCCAGGGTTCAACCGTGAGTTCCGGAGTTATATGTTCTCCCCCCCCCCCCCGGGAGTTCGAACCCTGGGTTCCGGAACACTCCAAAAACCTATGCTCCTCTGCGAGGGCAAGGAGATCCGGAGGAAGCGTTTTGGCCATGAAGAGGTAGAACTCCGGCGGCTGCACAATGGTTCGAGCTCAAGGCCAAAAAGAGTGGAATTAGCACACTGTTCATGAGTCCCTTTGGTCCATCTCAAGGCTTTCTCATGCGGCTGTAAGACTTTCCGTAGTGAGTCATCCTTCTGACTAGGACCGGTGATACCGCGTGTAGTCGATGTCCGCACAAAAGGCAGAGTTCGAATCCAGGTGAGAAAACCCAAGTTCATTGGAAAAAGGCACATCCTGCAAGTCCAGACACATGTTCTGTGGGCACTCGAGGGCCTCTGGAACTGGAATTTCAGATTTTGGGTTTCGGGGACGGGTCTGAAAACTGGAATTGGGGATTTGAGACTTCGGAGACTAGAATTGCGGAGAGTCTAGATTTGGAACTAGGCCTGGACTGGAGCTCAAACGCCAAAAAGCAAGGCAGCATGATAGTCCGACAGCCTCTCTCTGCGAAAAGTGTTCCAGTCTTTTGGCTTTGTTTTGAGCCAAGGTCAGATTTTGGTATTTCACAGGATTTTTGGAGCTTGGAGTTTGAAACGCGGTTCCAGATCTAGATAGAACCTGGATTTCAAACCTGGATTGAGTTTTGGAACCTAGATTTGCGGATTATCCGGTTGCAACTCAGCCAGCAGGAATCGTTCGACCTTCTACAAAGCGCATCTCAGCTGGTCTTCTTCGATGGCATGAGCCGAGATGGCCGAGAAAGTCCATTTCCGGGAGAAACCAACGTCCGAAACAAGAAGACCGCACAAACCACAGCAGAGCGCAGAAGCCAACAAGACCGAGTTTCCCATGGATGAACCTTGCAGAGCCAATCCAAAATGTTACAGCTGTTCTGTCCAGCTTGCAACGGGCATTGCAAGGGCGCAGTGCGGTGCAAGAACTCATCGCAAGAAGTTGGATGCAGCAGCCAGACATAACATGCATTGAAAAAGACCCAGCTTTCCAAGAAAGAGTTCCTGGTCTGGATAAAAAAATTCAAACCCATTTTAAAATGCTTGCAAACAGAAGGATTTTCAATCTGGTCTCGGCTCCATCCAAGATGAGCACACCGTTCTATGTTCATCAGTGCGACGCCAACGGTCCAACACCACACAGAAACTGTTTTCATGTTGGCACTAATGCACCGGTATGAGTAACAAAACACGAATCAGCTGCCGTGTTTCTGTCGTTTTCCTTTGGGTTTTGTGCTCGTTGACAGTCATTCGTTGTGTCTGGCTCTGTGCTGTGTCACTTGGGTCGCTGGCGCGACGGAGGACGTGAATCTTTGCTTTTTTGCCGTACCTGCACTCCTTGAGCATGCGTCCGGCGATTTTATGGATGATGATGATTATGTTAGTCATGTTGCTCCGATAATTTGATAATATGTTAATGTGTTCATATGCTCAGTGAGTTGCCATGTTAAAATGTTAGTATGTGTTTAACGTGTTTATTCCAAAATCTTACCATCTCCTGATGTATTGACATAACCATGTTAACATGTTCATATGTGTGAGCGTTGATATCATTGTCAATCTCTAAGTGAGCACGAAGTCGAATATGAAACATACATGCCGTACAACATGAAGATGATGGAGATGATGATGAATATGAATGCAAACATGAAGCATGAATTTCGTTTGAATGTACATATGTTCAGTTGAATGGGTTTGCATTTGAGTTCCCACAGCTTGGATGCCGGTGTTGCTGTTTTGCTGGTCTATTGCTGTTGTTGCGATCGCTGTCAACATTGTTGTGTTTCGCATCATTCGAAGAAGGTAGCACATTGCGACTAGCGAGCATGTCACCTATTGTGATAGTGATGCAGACTGTGGGAGCCGTTTGTGTCCTTCCCAATCCATGTAGACTTGCAGTTGGACAATGGGATTTGCCGAAATGCATTCAGTACACCACAGCACGAGGGAAGTTTCGTGATGGTTTGAATGTTTGGATGTTGGTATTCAATGTTTGCTTCGATGTTGTAAGTGGACGACACAAGATGGAAGGCAGGATTCCCGTAGCTGCATTTGAAAGAGTTTCCAGAGTTGATGAGTTCACATGGATGGGTATGTTCGCTCTCGATCCCGCTGCGAGCTGCCGTCTCAGCATACCGTGTTTGGCAAAACGATATCCGACATTGCATGACTCAGGCGTCGAGCGTTCTGGTGTTGTCAAATTTTCAGTTCGCAACAGGCCAGCGTGCGAGTGCTGTTTGCGGTCTGGGCTCGTAATTTCTGGGAGCATGTTCCGCCTCTGTTCCGCAAGGTGCCCTGTCACGATCAGATCTGTGGCCAAACCCACTGTATGGCTTCACCAACAACAATAGGCATGACGCGGAAACATGTGTCGAACTATCCCACACCTGTAGTGCTGCGCGGTGTGTGCGTGTGTGTGGCAGCATAGGACGTGATGAGATGCGATTGCACCATACCATACCACGTTCATTACAGTTCCAACGCAGGCTGGGCAGCACTCCAAAACGGGATGCTGTCGACAGCGACTTCAGGCGAGGCTCCACCGTTGAATAAGTGGCTTGTGAATCAATGTTGAGAAGACAGGCATTACTACCATTTGGCGGCGTTGGAATTGCTACTAGTTCATCATGGATTCAGGCCAGCACCATTCGAATCAAGAGGAGACGGTGAGTGTGTTGTTGCTTGAAACGAAAAACACGTCCAGTTAAGAAAACGGAAGGCCGTGTGAAACGACTTTGTCATCGCAGCAAGACATGCACCAGCTGGAGAAGACCATCTCGGCAGTTGAAGTCCATGCCTGAGACCAGGGTGCAGGAGGTTGTTGAGCTTGCGCTGTGTTGGAGTGAGCCAGAGGCTTTTCAGAGAAACCGCAGCTTGCCGTCGGACCCCCTCGGCCTGAACGGACCTTTCTGGGAGGAGTTGGTGGTCCCGGTGAAGCCAGGCCTTGCCTGGTGCCGCAAAGTCGACGGTGCAGCCATTGAATTTTCGGCAAGGCGACGAAAGTGCGGCTGTGCTTGCTCTGCGCTGGCTGGTTCAATCTACCTCTCAGGCAAGGAGTGTCGTGGCAGCCATTGGTCAGTTTGCCTGATGGGTGTGTTTTTGCGTGGCAATGCAGGTCTCCAGGCCACCGCTGTGGGACACAATGGAGGCCGTGCGAATTCCGAGCGGTTCGAGTCCGAGTTTCTTGGGGCTGTGTGAGCAGGTGGAACGACATGGGTGTCAAGCCCAGCTGGATGCCTCGATGCAGGTGGAAGTGTTGTCTGCATGCTTTGCTTGATTGACTGATGGATGGATGTTGGTTGGATGGATGGATGGATGGAGGGAGGGAGGGAGGGAGGGAGGGATGGATGGATGGAGGGGAGCACGCGAGGCTGCGATGTAAGCAATCATCCTAGGCTTCCCGAAGCTGTTGCGGGTCGGTGACTTGAAAAACGTGTTACAGCTTTTGCGGGTAATCTGGAACCGTTTCGTTTTATTTTTGCAGGACTGTGAAGCATGCTAGGGACTTCCACTGCAGGCACAAATTCAAGGAAGTCTTGCTGCTAACGCGGAGCTCATGAATGAATTCAATGCCATTGCCTCAGTCGCATGTGTGGCTCTGGCAGTGCCAGTTCCCAACTTCTCCGAGCAGCCAGGCTTCGTGGCCAGTGGGACTCCCTTCCTCGGTGTGGCGCCATCTCCTGCAACGTGCAGAGCAACGGGTCGGACGAATGCAAAGAGACAGCTCGTGCGGCTGTTTGACGCATGTGGTGGTCGTTCTTGCAGGTAGCTTCCGGGTGCCTGGGCCGCGCCTTCGTGGCCAGGGCCTTCGGCGTGGCATGGGCCGAATCCCCGGAATGTGTGCGGGAAGTCTTGTGGGCTTGCGATGGCTCGCAGGGTGTGCTTTTGGCAGCCCTGTAGGGCTTCCGAGAGCTATGAGGTCTTTGTTTGGTGCTTGAGTGCTGGCTTCTTCGCGTTTTTCCACATCGATGGTTGGGGCCTGAGACTAAAGAAGCAGGGTGAAGGTGGGAACTGCTCGAGGGACTGCGTTGCAGGCTGGAACCATGGAAGCTCCGAGAAAGCGTGCAATTTGGCTGCATTGGTTCGAGTTCAACGCGCATTTGCTGTGAAGCGGCTCCAAACGTCGACTTTCAGAAGTTGCGTAACATATACCTCGCAGCAGAGGTGCATGCTGAGGTTTTCTGCAACTGCAGTAGTTGTGATTCGAAGAAACAGCATTGGAAGTCTTGAAGAAAGCTCGGGTCTGCCATGTGTCTTGGATGAGGCATGGAGCCCAAAACGTTCCGCAAAGCTATGGCCACAGCATTCCTTCGGCACTGTCCGATCGCATTTGGCGTTGGGGTGGTGTTCTATCAAAAAGTGACCACCCAGGTTCTCAGATTTGGCCACGAAGTGGCATTGCTTGGTGTGGTGATGTTGAGCCCGTGGCCAAGCTTGCCATGAAAGACGGCATCAGAGCTACAGTGCGTCCGAGCCCTTCCTTTTCAGGTCACAGCTTGTCTGTGCTCGGGCTTTGGCCGGATCCCCGGTGAGCGTTCATGCGCTGCCGTCTGGTGGCAGATGATCTGCTCGCCCTGACGCGCAGGTCTTTCCCATCTGACCTGGTTTCCCAAGTGTTTGTAGGTGGGGAGGGGGGACTCTTCATTCGGGTGAAGATGGCTTGTGCGTTTGGAAGAGGCTTTCAGATCACAGCGGCTGCAGTTGTTGCCGTGCGTCTTGCCGCAAAGCGGGGAAGGTGCGGTGGACCTGCATGGGCTTAGTTTGGAGAAGATTCCATCAGCCAGTGAGCATCGTCTGAAAGGCGCCTGCCGCCTCAGAAGAAATGCATCAAGTACTCGGCGCCTATTTTGCTGATGGTCCGATTTCCAAGCGAATTGCAGCCCAGAGCAGAAGTGGGTTCTGCAAGTGTGCCAGCAAGGTCCTAGCCTTTTTGTTCTACTGCCTGGTGAGCTTGGTCAGACACCGAGTGAATTACTGTCAGACGCGCGAGGCAGCATTTGGTCTCTTGTGGTCCCATCATTCCAACACTGAGGTTCCGGGGCTCCATGGGCTCTGGTGGCTAGACCGATATTTGCCTTTCTCTTGACTTTTGCCGGAAATTGATCATACAGGACATTGCATCTTTCAGGTACGCAGTGTTCTTAGCCGGGCTGTTGGCTGCTTGGTCCATCGCGGTACTGGTCATCGCGGTAGGGGCCCGAGTCCATCTAGTTGGTACATGCTGGTGCCCAGCATCAACAATTGACAGCGGAGGACTGGAACCGTGTCATGAAGTGTGGCCTGTTTTTCGTCTGTTCCTTAAAACAGAGTCGTGCCAAGAGTCTGCCAGAGAAAAGTTGCAGCAGCGGGCCAGGCAATGTGGATACTGGCATTCGTGGCTCCAACGTTGTTGTCAATTCTCGTAGGTTTGCTTGGAACCTTTGGCAGCGATCTCAGTGCTAGGAGTGCGAGAGAGTCGTGCGTGCCTGGCAGCACCACGAGCCAAGGATTTTGGCTTTCTGCGTTCACTCCTGTGCTGTTGCTGCTCTTGTTTCTCGGCGAAGAGATTTTGGTCGCGCCCGCGATTCGTTTGGAAGGTCATGAGAGCTCAAAGGGGCTTTTTCACTCAATCCATTGGTTTTCGGACTGGACTGGGACCGTTTCGGCGCACTACGTTCCTCTTTCTGGATGCCTGTGCCTCTCAGCGAGAAGGATCTCTCTGGTAGCCGTCTCAGGTCTCTAGCGGCTGAGCGGCTCATAGGCAAGCCTGCCAGAGCTCTGCTGTGTCACATGCCGCCCCACATCTTTCCCTGTGACCACATGATCAGAAGTTTCGCGCGCAGGCCCTCTGATAGAAGTAAAGTGTCGCAATCTCAGCTACAGCTACAGTCTGCAAGGCTCGAGGCCGATGTTGCCGAAGCAGTCCGGTCAGGTGAATATACAGCGGAAACGAACTGGATGCTCGCACTGCTGTGGCAAGCCCGGCTTTGCTCAACTTCGTGCTTGGTTGCGGTTGGATGATTTTGATCGATTCAGGTTCAGGATGTGCATCGAGCAGGTCCGATTCAACACCGCCCTTGCGGTTGGGGTCACAGCACGACATCGTGGAACACTAGACATCCTGCGACAGTGCGTAAGGTGTTGCTCCTCTCGCTCCTTGCTCAGAGGGGATTCGGCCCATTCCTCCTGCACCTTGCCGGACACTGAGCACGATCGATGCAGAGAGTGTTCAGTTACGAGTGCTTGCTGAATCCCGCACGTCGAGGTGCAGAGCTTCCTCTTCGCCGTAGCGCTTCGACGGCCGAAGATCGTGTGTACGTCCAGAGATGCATTGGCCCTGTCCTGAAAGCGATTGTTGTAATTTGTGCTGGGCTTTGTTTAGATGAAAACAGTATGTAAGCCAGAAGCCTATCGAGCGTTCCTGGCTTAGCCGCCCAGAATCGTTCTTCACACGCTGTCGAGTCTACGTCTGCGTTCCGCTGCTCTTGCTGCATGATTTTAATGGCTCGTGCTAAGGCCTCGGCCCCGCAGAGTGCCTTCTGCCGCTACCTGTTCCATGCATCGCAGATCGTCTCGCACACAGGCTCGGCAAATTGCAGCTTCACGATCATTCGTCTGTTCAGCTGCTTGCCTTCACTTCAAACCAGGCTCCGGAGCCATTTGGCAGTACCGGCCCGGTGCTTTCCGCCGTCGAGTCGACGGCGAAGGTGCGATTGATCTCCCAGACTGAGGTCGGAGGCAGTGGTCCTACCTCTGGAGATTGCCGCTGCCCCAGGTCGAGTTTAAGTATTACTATGGCAAGGCAAACGAGATCATGGGAGGATCATCCCTAACTTGATTACATTGCTGTGCACGGTCAGGCACTTTTCTTGACTCACATGTTCCAGCTGCTCCTCGTGGGGATGCCGGTCGGCGTTTCGGTTGGGGCCCGGGAAAGGCGCTGCGCCGCTAAGCCGCTAAGCTAAGCCTCGTGCTGCACGACGGCCGAGGCGGCGTCGTGGTGGTTGGGGCTGGTGTTGTTGGTATTGTTCTCCACGGCCAGAGAGATTTTATCGTCGAGCCGGCTTGTTTGAGACAGGGGGTCAGGCCAGCGATTGTGCGACTCGTCGCAGCAGGGGTGTGCTTTCCACCTGGCGTCGGATGCTCTTCCCCCACATCCCTTGGCCAGCCGCTGAAAGTGGATGTAGGATTTTGCGAGTTTGCATGCAAAACGCGAGCGATTTTGCTACTTCCTCAGGTCGGCTCTTCCTGGGCATCTCATCGCCATTGTCCTCGGTGTCGCTATGGCCACCGCCACGTTTTCACAAGCCCAGCACCTGGCACATGCATGGAAGCATCCACGCATGGTCTGAAGGGCGGCCGGTGACAGTGACCACTTCGTTTGCTGCAGGTGCATTTCTTGTGGTTCTTCTATGCCCATCACTGGGCTGTGTGCTACATCGGCACTGGGCTTGGGCTTTTCAAAGTACGGGTAGGATGGGCTGCGGGCTGGTGCCCCTGAGAGCAGACAGGTGGCCCTTCAAGCACCGGCATGGAGGTTCCGCGCTGCTGTGCGGCTTGGTACGTCATCTTGCAGGAAGCCCCAATCGACTCGAGAGGTGGTCGAGGACGAGGATGCCGGCGGAAGCATCATGACGGGTGTGATTGGCGTGGTGCTCCTCGTGGCTCACGTAGCCTGGCCAAAGCAACTTGAAATTTGTCGTTTCTACTCAGGGATGGCAGGGTTGCTGTTGTGGACTCTTTGCAAGAGTTCGCATACCTGGACGGATTTCTCAGTTGCAGATCTCGTGAGCTTCTTGAGGTGTACTCTTTCTGCTTGTGGTCGCTGTGGCTTGGGTCCTTCAGCTCAGACTTGCACGCGTTTCCAGCGAGCGAAGAGAAGGTGTTGTGATCCGCAGCCCAAGGCGGTTGGAATGCGCCCGGCAGCCTTCGAAGGCTCGCCAAGCCCGAAGTTTGTCTTTAATCACGTTGCGGCGTTGCGGTGCCGGACCAGGAACGGAGCCGGAACAAGCAAGAGCTGGCTCGGCGGCCCAGTGAGCACAGAGAAGCCTGGAAAAACGCCGCCCCTGATCTTGGATCACTTCGGCCTGTCAGGTGCAGGCCTTCAGGCGGTCTGCGAGCCTTACCCTGGACGATCGGCAGCAGAAGAAGGCAATGCTGGTGCAGCACCAAGAAAGCAGAAGAGTGGAAAGGCTTCTTGAAAGGCTCTCGTGCCTCTGAAATCGGAAAGGGCTGCTTGCCAAAGCTACCGGAATAGTGCCAGTCCTCCTGTACTTCTTGTAAACTGTCAATTGTGCATGTCAATGCTCTTGCAATTCTCGGCTGCAGCACACGAGAGGCAGAAGCTTGTAACAGCAAAAACCTTCAACATGTAGATTCAATTCAGGGCCTGTTCTTTGGTGCTTCACCGAATCTCTACCAGTAGTCCAAAGACCTACTACACCGCAGTTGGAGCATCCAGCCCCAGCTATGGCTTTGCCTCTGACTCTCCCGGGCTTCACGGATCCAGCTGCTGGCGCCCGTCGGACGTTGGCAGCGCAGGTGCGGTCGCTGAGTCATACAAGCAGCTGATAAGAGCCAAATGAGCATGCTTACCATTCTTCAATTTGGCAGATCGTAGCCGATTCTCGATACACAGCTAGGTACTGTATGTCGTTCCTAAAACTGATGATGCTTCTGGTGAGTGTGAAAGATGGCCTCGCCGTCCAGTGAATGTTACGCGAGAGTCACATACTGTGCGAGGGGGGGGGCTCGCGATTCCACACCTGCAGCAAGCACGCAAGAAAGCAAGAGATACCGTTACTGTACGGAGAGATGATGAGGTGTGTGCAACTCCTTCATCGAGCGGGGGGCCGAAAGTGCCTTGCAGCCAGGACTCGCCTGCGCGAGTTCTTCTTGGGCGGGGGGTAAGGGAGGTGGGGGAGAGCGGGATTTTGGCCGGGTTTCTGCGGACTTTTACAACCGGAGTTTGAACAACTAAGACTGCAACCCCAAAGCGAGCTGCAACCAAAGCGAGCTTCACTCCAACTCTAAGCGCTGAGCGTGTCTTTGAGATGACAGCTGACCCCCCTGCCCAGTGGGAACGAGAGAAGGATAGGTGGCCCTCACGAGATAGAGACGGACTGAAGCGTACTCTTTCGAAGTTGCCCCGTGCGCACAAGAACCTTTCGACGAGAGGAGAGCGAAAACATCCCAAGCTTTGCTGAGGTTGAGCAGCTGAAGCGATGGGATGGCAGCCGCAGCTGGAGCGCAGGTGCGCGGATTTTGAAACTGCTTTGATCTACAGCTATGATCAGTGACGCATTCAGTCATGAAAAATGTCAGGTCGACACGAAGAGAGCCGTGGAGAAGTCGTGGAGACGGTTCGTTCCATCCTGGACTGGGCTTCCAGCATTGACGGCTCCGACTTGGCTCCAGCTTTCCGCGCTGTTCGAGACAAGCTAGACATCCGCGACGTGGTGGTTGTTGTGCGGGACTTCGTGGGTAGCCTGCTTTACGTGGCAGTCGCCGCAGAGCCTCAGCTATCGCACAGCCAGCAAGGTGGAAATGCCAAGCGACAGCTTTCCGAGTTGCTGTGTGAGCTCTGTGGTTTGTACGAGCAACCTGCGCACTTCAGCCGTGCTACGCACTCTCGAGCGGGCCTCGCTGAGCCTTGCAAATGCTGCACGTGTTGCCACATTGCCATTCAAGAGGCTTTGAGCCTCCTGCGCTTCGTTCACTACTTCATGACAGCTTGTGCAGATGAATCCTCGGAGAGGAACCTTCCAAGGCGCTCCTTCTTTAAAACACTCCTTGATATGTAGGGTTGTAGGTTGGTCCAGGCGCGTTAGTTTGCCTAGCTCCTTGATATGACCCGTGATGTTCCGTGCTGCAGGCATATGGAAGATGGTGTTCTCGAGCTGCTTCACCTCGTTACCACTCTGAGCTCTGCTCTTCATGAAGACTGCTTCCTTGTAGCCCAGCGCAGTGATCATTTGCAATGGTGGCCGCGGTACGAGCAGCTCCTTGACGGCAGCTCACCTTACTGCTCGGGGCTTCTTCTGTGCACACCTGGCGCTAAGGTTGAGACGTGACTGTCCGGTGCCGTCATGGCCTCTGACAGCATGGGCGTCCTTTCAACAGCTTTGGCTGGATGCGGAGCAAGCCGCTTTCAAGCTGCAGAAGAGGGTGGCCTTATTCCGCATGCAGACGGCACAGGGACGCCAGGGCCGGGGCGGCCAGGGAGTAAGGCACGCTCGTCCGTCTGCCGGTTTTGTCAGTTTTCCTCCTCGGCTTCCGAAGGTGGAGCTGACAGGCAGCTAAGGCAGGAGTCTGTGCATTCGCATGAATGTATTCTAAATTGCAATGCGCCTGTAGAATCAGCGTTGCCATGATTTCCACGCATGGAATTCGGTTTGGTAGACGAGACTCTCGCGGTTGGCCGAGCTCACTGCAAGCCAACTGTGGCTCTTCTCTACAAGGCCTTTGTCACGCAGTGTACCACGAAGTTAACACGAGAAAGAGCTCGGCAAACACTTGAGGCGAAGTGTACATCGATGCAGCAATATTTAGCCCTTGCACCGTGACATTCCGGACGTAGCATGTCTGGCCGGTGCAGCAGAACAGTCGGAACCAGGCAAAGTGGCAAAGCATGTGAGAAGAACTCCGGAGCCAGTCAAGCTGAAGCGTGCAGGCATATGCACGCAGTTTGCGCTGTAGAACAGATGTTGTTTTCTCGTACTCAGGTGCGGGTGAACTCCATGACCATATCAGGCGCCTGTGTGGGGTTTTTGAGCCTCTGCGGCCAGCGCTCCTTCCTTTCACAAGCATGCTTGAGCCTGTGCCGGCTCAGCGACGTCAACATGCTTTCTCGTGTCCTTGTAGTGCCTTCGTGCTTCAGGCCTAGCCGCCAGCTACAGCTGGGTGCCCACATTGCCACTGTCTGCTTTGAGTCGTTGCGGTTACTGGTAGCTGGTAGCATCAGCCGTATGGAGTGCCATTTGAGGAGGAGTCGAATCAGGTCGGTCCGTAGTGCAGACAAATAGATCTGCTGCTGGGATCTTCTTCTGCGCCCTGCAAACCGCGGCACTGCTAATGCTGCCAGCTCATGTGCAACAAAAATCGTCTCACGACTTCGCTACCGCCTCCGCGGAATTGTGGAGCCCGTCCCCGAACGGGATTATTGTAGAACGTTGATCTTGTGTGGCACCGTATCCCCAGCTTCAGCTTGAGGTGAGATCCCCGACGAGGAGGAGACAGAGAATGACGAGGCAAGCGGGTGCAGTGATCGGAGCTTTCACGAGTTTGTGCATCTGACCAGAATCAGAGAATCAAAAGCGCTTGGGAAAGGCTTTCGAAGAGAAGCGCTTAGGAAGCGCCTGGGCTCGGCTCTCAGGATGCGTGTGTGGGCAGCTCGAGCAGTCTGGAATGGAGGAGCGCACCTTGACCTATCTCTGGGAAGAGAGGGACGGCGTCGCTGCCTTGGCGTGGAGGCTGCATGTGAACTGGCTCGTGTCCGGTCCACTCTGAGGAGGATTCCCCGAGCAGCCTTCCAGGAGTTCCACAAGACGAAGGCAGCACGTCGCAAGAAGGCGGCGGCTGCAATCCGCACACCTTGCGTATGCCCAAATGTCGTCACACGCGCTTCTGATATCTTCTGATTCTTCGTAAGAATCGCTTCAGGGCGTGAAAGAAGGGTTTCATCCACAGATGCCACTGCCCGTCACTCAGGGACAGCGTGTCGCCAAAGCAAGGGCTTCAAAAGAGAATGGCGTGCACGTGTGGATGCCACAGGTCGATGCAGAAAGCCATCGCCCTACGCTGTTGCTCGAGGCCTGACACAGCTGCAACTTGTTTATTCCTGATACCTGGTGCTGGTGCGCTCGCAAGACAGATCCTTTGTTCTTCAGCTGACAGGTGCCCGTATCGGAGACTGCTGCCCAAGAAGAGCCTTCGCCTTTGATCCTGGCTTCTTTGCCTTTGGAGGGCCAGTGTGGGACCACGCTCCGAGGGCGCCCGAGCTTGCACTGACTCCCGACTCTGAGCACGTCAAGGGCTCAGCTCTTGCCCGATCGCCCTGCGCCGCACTCAAGCTCAAGACTTGGTCGGCCTGAAGGCCAAGCTCTTAAACCAGGTTTTGAAGGAGGTGCGAAGACTTTGGCGTGGGGTGGTATGCGTGGTGGTTTGTCCTTGGCTCTCTGGCAGGTCCAGTCCATCCAGCCAGACCAAGAGGTTGCAGAGGACACCCCCAAAGGGGCGACTTTGGCAAGCTGACTGCGTGATCTCGTGCCCGCCACTGGCAGGTTGGTTTTGAGCGCGTGGAGTCGGAGCAGAGCCAGGTGCTTTGGGGGTTAAGCTTGTTGGAAGACCAGGAAAAAGCGGTGCAAAAGGCACTGGAAGATTGTTTCTTATGTTTCTTGTCTGGGACAGTCTTTGCTGGATGTGGACGGGTGAATTTCTTGACTTCCCCGACGCACACGCTACAGACTGACAGCGTTGCATGTCTCCCGGCAGGCGATGTCATGGACGCTCAACGGCACCGAGGTGCAAGCGCTTCTCGGGGACACGAGCACTGAGGTGGGGCTGACTTGAGATTCGATCCCAAGTGTGTGTCCTGACACCATGAGCGCGAAGTCTCCCTCTTATGAGGATCTACGTGCAGCCGGGGTCGGCGAGGCTTAAGCATCCAGCGTGCTCGTACCGGAATGTTGGGCCCCCGTGCTTGGATCCAGGAGGCCAAGAGCCCGCAGGCTCTGAGTGGATCTCGTACCCAGGCCTTGGGCGGCACGTATGGGAATGCAACCGTGTCATGCAGTTACTACCCTGCTACAGTTGTGCGTCTGTTGTTACGAAACACTGTGGACGTGAATGCGCCGGTGAGGGTGGTTTCAGCTCCCAAGCCATGCTGCAATAAACTGTCGCGTGCCTTGTAACAGGTTGAGAATGTTGCACCCGCTCGATGTATTAAGCCGCTACACGGATCTTTCTAAAGGATTGTGGAGCCGGTTTGTGGCACTGGTGCTTGCCAGCCACTGTTTTCAGCATGGTGTCCACCGCTTGTCCCACTGCTGCTGTGAGGACGACCTTGAGAGGCACTTGAAGGACAGTGCGGCCATGGGGGCACTTCTGCAATGAACTCATCGCCGCAGCTGCAAGGCGATGTGTGAGTCTGTGTACCTTTCAAAAGCTCACCGCCGAAGGATCTCATGGCCGGGGCAGACGTCGAACAGGCAGACCGCCGTACCACTTGACCCTGACGGCAAATCTAACTATAGGAAGAGGCTGAGGCTTCACACCTGCGTGGTTACCAGGTGGTGACGAAGCTAGCAGAGCCCACGCCAATGGAGGTTCGGGTTGTGACGGTGTCCCTGTCAGTGCCGGTGCAACTCTACTACATCATACCAGGAGCAAGAGGAGGAACGAGCGCTGCAAGCTCAGAGCACAGCTGTGAGAACCCGAGCCAAGGATTTTTCACACAGCACGAAAAAACGTGGTTCGCGGCACCGGCTCAGAGAAGGGCTGTCCCAGTCATTCCCTCCCTTTTGATCAACCGCAGAAAGCGATGTTTAGACTTTTGTCGATATGCGCCGGTGCCTATGCACTGAGTGCTCCTGAGGATTCTCTTGCGAGGGACGACGAGTGCTCGGACGCCTCTTGCTCTGTGAATGCCCTTCAGAGCAAAGTGAGCCTGCGTTCGGAGCAGAGCTGCAAAAATGCAGTGCCGGGTGACGTCTGCTACAGGAACATCATGTGGGCAAAGCAGACAGGCATCCGCCAGCATCCAAGCTGGTATCCAGGGCTGACAGCCTCTTCTAGCAACGCTGCCTTCCAGGAGATCGTCCATTCACATTCGCCCGACAAGTGTGCCTTGCCATGTGCAAACACGGCGGGATGCCACACAGCTCAGAAAGGCGAATCGTGCTACAACGACATCATGTGGGCAAAGCACACGGGCATCCGCCAGCATGCGCATTGGTATCCTGGCCTTTCCTCCTCCTCCTCGGATGCCGAGTTCCAAGCCAGCATCCACCAAAAGCGCCCTGACAAATGCCCGGAGCCGTGTATGGAGCCAGCTGAGGTGCCAGCTGAAAAGCCGGAGGTACCCGAGCCTGCGGCACCTGCGGCACCCGAAGCTGAAAAGCCTGCAGCACCTGCCGAAGAGCCCATCATCCCGCCGCAGACTCCAAGTCTCGTGCCCCCACCAGAGATCGAGGAACCCGAGGAGGAGACTCCCGAGGAGCCCATTCCCGGGATTATCCCGATGCCAGAGGATTTGAAGCCAGGGAACGAGCCCCAAATCATCATCCCGGTGACGGAGAAGCCTGCCGCGCAGCCATCCCCTCCGCCGGCCCAGCAGCCGCAGCATGAGTCGCACCCGGAGCCGGAGCCAGACATCAATCGCTACCCACAGTGCCCTCGCGAGCCTCAGTCCGCCCGGGAGGCCTGCGAGCAGCAGGCGATCCAGCAGGAACAGCGGGAGCGGGAGGAGCGAGAACGCCAAGAGCGCGAAGAGGACAAGGAGCACGAGCGCAACACCCCGCTGGATGTGAGGCATCAGGAGATCATCGAAGAGATTGGGGGTGAGCCATCAGTAGGTGGAATTCCAGAGTTTGACGACCCAGACCGCTGAGCTTGTGACTCTGGCTTAGCGCAACACCCCCAAAGTGTTCTCAGCAACTGTTGACACCGGGCTTGCCAATAGTTTAAAGCGAATTTGCTCATGTAGGTTCAATCTGTACTGAGACTTGACTTGACATGCCGATTGACAAAAGCTGTCGCAGAAAGCTGTGCAGAACGTTTGCTTGTTTGGCTCATGCTTGCCATCCCACACCCGATGCCCGAGCACGAGCACCCAAGGCGACGCGAAGAGGAAGAGCGTGACTCCCTCAGGGCGGTTTTGAAGACCTCGGCGATCGTCGGGCGTTCGTGCTGACGAGGCCGACTGGAGGCTGAGAGGGCCGAGGCTGAGCGCCGTCGCCCGGGCCTTTTTTCTCATGTCTTCCGCCGCTGAGCCTGGTGTTGTGCTTGATTGTGCTTGTGACTCTGTCGCGCCTCCTCTGGCAATTTAGGCCAGGAAGAGGAGCGCCTACTGGAAGAAGAGAGGACCGGGCTTGAACGGAGCGCAAAGCTGTGCAGAGCTGCCGAGAGCTGCAGAGGCTTGCCAAAGAAGCGGCTGATCGCGCGGAGCGCGAGGCGGAGGAGGCGGCCGAGCGAGAGCGCCTGGAGCGCCTGGAGCGCCTGGCTGCGGCGGAGCGGGAGAAGGCCGCGGCCGAGGCCGCAGCGGCCGCGGCTGCGGCTGCGGAGCGCGAAGCCGCGGAGGAAGCCCGGCGGGAGGCGGAGCGAGCACGGGCGGAGCGCGAAGCCGCGGAGCGCGCGGAGCGCGAGGCGCAGGAGGCGGCGGCGCGCGAGGCGGATCGACGGAAGCTGGCTTTAGAGGTGGGGAGCCCGGCGGAGTGATGGCTTTCAATGCGCCTTTGTCTGTGCCTACAAGTCCCTCCTCCGCACTCCTCGCAACTCCGCTTGCTTCCAGGCATTGTGTGAAGCCATGGCGAGCCGAAGCAAGGAGCAGATCGAGATCTGCCTGCAAACGGCAGAGGTCGGAGTCTCCGGCAAACACTGTGATTTCAGTCGCTTGAATCGAACTGGAGCGCTGAGCATGCGGAAGGAAGACGGGATCCCGGAGAAGGACGTGCAAGGGAGCTTTGGGCTCGCTGGTCTCGGTCCGTCGGTCGCATCAGGAGGCGGAGGCTGCTGTGCGGGTGCTTCATCAGATCGCCGAGATGGAGGCCGGAGCCGGCTTGAAATCGTGTCAGCGCTGATTCAACAGCACCTCCCGTGAGCGGCTCCTGCTTTAACTGAGGCGATCCGCGCGGCGGAGTGCGGAACTCACGTAGCCGTTCGGGCAGCTGCCAGTCGCTTCTTGCTGCAGCGATGCATCGAGCGTCCCATACTGGGTCCATAAGCCTGCAACAAAAAGCCCATGATTGCCAGACCCCGCCGTGTAAACTTCAGACACAATCCGACTGTGCCGGATCGGATCTGAGGCATCGCCTGCGTGGAGCCTGTGGCGACGGGGATCCCGAGGCCAGGCACGGCGAGAAACGATCGCCTCGCTATACCATGCCATGCTGACTCATTGTGTTATGAATCGAGATCTTGCAACACGCCGACCGCATGCAAACTGAGTAGCATTTGGAAATTCTGGCCGATGTGCGAAATTCCACTGCAGCTGCGACCTGCTGGCATTGCTGTCTGACATGTTTAGCGTTTCACGCCCTGTTACCTGTTGTTGTACATGTCAGTGAGTGTGTAGGCGGCACGTGACTATACAATGGAGTTCATCTTTTTTGCTTGTCTCGAGGAGATCGTCCGTGCCATCGCCCACGCGACAGAGGCCTGACCTCGGCACAGTTTCGTGACATCGCCACGTGCTGAAGAAGAACGGGTGCGGAGTGCTTTCCACACTTCAGGTGGGTGTGGGACGAGACACCATAGGCGTGCTGCTTGCTGAGTCAGTGTCGTACCATGTTACCGCTTAACACAAGCAGCCAGCGAAGTTGCGAATGTCTGCATGCTTGGAGCCGACATGTCGACAGATGCGGCCAACGAGACACTCTCCAAGATCCGAGAAGAGATCCAGAAGCGGGAAGCGGCCACGAAAAGGCTTTGGCAGCTTTGGTTTTTGCTTGTGGGGCGGATTTCATTTTGTTGTTAATGGGCCCGAGAATGTTTGCCTATGTCATTGGCCTATGTTTCCGAGGGTCTAGGCTGGGGGAAACTAGGATTGGCTGATGTTTCGGCTACTATCCAAAATCGCGATTCCGCACAGCAGTATCTCAACTTTCGTTGTAATTCTTCGTTGCCGCGCTCTGCAAGGCTCCGCGAGATCCTGCTGAAGCCGTGGCCAAACCCTGAAAGCAGTGAAACTCTGGAGGCAGTGCTTGTGTCGTGGCTCAGAGTGGGATCGGAGAGGAGAGCATGGCGTCGGTCACAAGCTGTGCAAGATGTTGCAGTTTTGCATTTTTAGAGTCTAGCCTGTAGAAAAGGATGTAAGTTGCAGCTCTCGAGCATCCCCTGACTGCGAGATCAGCTCCTTCTGAGCAGGAGCGCATCTCCGCCCTTTCCGAGGCAATCTCGCTGGGGCCTTGGCCTATTCTGCGCATTTGCATAGCTTAGTTTACGCGAGTGCGTAGCCGAGAACAGTTTCATCTTGCCTTGAAGGCTGGTGGCCTTGTCTTCGGATCAGATGTGTGCTGCCACCTGCCAGGACTGGCAAGGCCTGCCGGGTTCCGCAGGCGGACCTGCAGGCCCATCCTGGGGCCTGACCTTCTCTGCCCAGAGACTGAGTGACTTACTTTTTTTGCCGCTCTCTCCGCTTCTCTGTCTCTACGCATTCTACGCTATACAAGTAACTCTGCATTCCACGGGCATGGTTCTTGAGTCTCTTGCAGGCAGCAGCAGAGTCTCTGCAAGTTCTCGAAGGCTTTGCTGCAAGGAGTGGATTCTGTTTTGTCGACTCGAAGTCCGCAGCGCGGCCAGGCCTTGAGCGTCGGGAACTCGCCACACAGGCCCTGATGCAGGCCCTGGAGTCTCAGGACCTCCAGGCCAGGGCCAGGCGGGGTTTTCGGAGCTTCGCGCTTTCGACGAGCCCTTCCGAGAGGCCGCCAAGAAGGCCTACAGCCATGCGAAGGAGTGTGGCCTCTCTGTGGAGGCCATGTTTTGGAGTTCTATCAATAGAGGTCTGTAGTACGGTCCCAAGCCATGAGGAGCTGGTCTCGTTCGAGCACCTGCTGCGCGACTTGTCTGACGCTTTGGAGCTTGCTGGCGACAAGGCACAGGGGGTTGAAGGTTTGAGATCCATGGGGCTCAAGAAGTCTGTTTACCCGAGAGAGATCTTTGACTGTCCAAGTCGTCAGGAACGGCTGATGGAGCGGCGTGTTGCCGCTGCAGTGGAGGCGAAGAGCCAGGCGCGCATCCCGCAGGGCTGGCATAATTCCGCCATTGCTGTGCCTCGGCTTTTGGAGGTGGGCAAGTGCCAGTTTACCGGGTAGTTGCCAGCTGACACGCTGTGCACACGTGCAGAGCGTGGCACTCTCATGTGGTGCCGATGTCGTGCACACCAGTTCCTGCGCTTGGCCACAACTGGCAGGAAGCCGTGTGCGGTCCGTGTTGAAAAGGCTTAAAGAGCTAAAGCTTAAAGATCACAGTATCGTATCGAGCTGGTTTTGTATGCTCGCTTCCTTTGACCTTATTTGCCTTAGCTCTGCTTCTAGCTGCAAGCCTCGGAGGCAGAACGCATGGAATCCTCCGCTGAAGTAGAGAAGATGCTTGGCGAAGGCCAGCTGCGGCAGAGACCCTCTTGGACTGCTTCAGATTCCCACGATGGCAAACGGCAGGCGGCGTCATTTTGGTGCTCAAGGATGCCATCCAAGAAGCCAAGAAAGCGCCAGGAATCCGAGAGAGAGCTATGAGCTATCTGTTGAAAAGGGGGCCTTCGCCTGAGAGCCGCCCGCCTCTTCGCTGGCCGCGCCCAGGCGGCTGGTGAGCAAGGGAGCCATCGCCAGAGCGGAGGCAGACCCTCCCTTCCCGGTAAGCCTCTGGGAGCCAGCGCCTCGCCTGTGCTCGCTTGCAGGCCGTTGTCCCGGAGACCATCGCCGATCTCAAACGTCAGCCTGCTCGGATTTTCTGTGGATCGTTCGGTTTGTCGAGAACTTGACGTGATCTACATCACTCGCCTCCGGCTCCGTGTCATTAGGGTAGCCGTAGCTGCGACAGGCATCATTGCTGACAAGCAGCTGAACGAGAAGCGTGCTGGCCTCTGATACATGGGTCCATGCACCGAGCAACTCAAGAGCAGTGCATGCGGGGCTGTGTAGGGCGGAGACCATGTCTGGTTGATGGGTTTGCGAGGGTTGAGCGGGCTTGTGCCTCGGCACAGGCGTGGCAGAGCAGCGTCTGCGTGGCGAGGTGGAGTCTCCCGGCCTATTAGCGCAAGCGAAGCGCCAGCTGCTCGCCCGAGAGCCACTCCGCTTTAGCGAAGTCCTGATCCAAGGCTGGTGCAAGAAGCAGGGCCCGGACCCGTGGGCTGAGAAGCCTCAGAGAATTACGTCATGACACGTTCTGAGGATCCTCCATGTTGGCGTTTTGGAGGGCTTGCGCAACGCTATTGCCGAAGCCACCCGCTTCAGCGCTGACGTACACGGCTCAGCTCCAGTGACGGTCATCTCAGCAACCTCGCGACCTGAACACTGGGTTTCGCGCTTCGGATTCCGTTGAGCCATGATGAGCCACGGGGCCGTGATCCAGTCTGGAGTCGATAGTCGGTTTCGTTTTCAACGCCCTTAGCTCCAGCAAGATATCTCGGTCGACAGGTTGTTCAAACCATACGTCCCAATCTCTTGCAAGCTTGAACACCCTAAATCCCCGAAAAGAAGGCCTGAAGTTGCACAAACTTCTCTCAGTTTTTTCAGCGGGGGAGCCTACAAGTAGGACAATTAGCTAAGGGACTCGCTGACCGAGGTCAGGGATGCGGAGCAGGTCTTGGCGCAGCTGACGAGAGACCTGGAGTCGCATGCTCAGGGGAAGTGGAAGTCTTTTGAACGAGGGGCTTGCTGATCTTTTGGTCGTCCTTCGTGAATATGCCGGTAGCTGTGTCATGCTGTGTCCCTGACAGTGGGGCTTCACATTCGATGAATCCTCTCGGCTTTCAACACAACGTTCATGGTTTTTGATTTCCGGGTCGACGCAGGAAGATGACACTGGAGGCCAAAAGCGCACTTTCCCAGGCAGGTCTTGAGCCTTTGCGCATTTCTGAGACTGGGGGGACTCCCCTGTGAGCAGGCTTTCGAGTCTCGCAGCCCCGTGGAGATCCGGAAAGGTGAAGCTCTCAGGCGGCTTTTGCTGCGTCTGCGCCGAGCGGTCGCCTCCTCCTCCCCGAGGCATCTCGGCCTGCCGGCAGCTTCTGCTGAACGAGGAGCGAAGCCGCGAAGCTTCTGTTCAAGACTTCATCACGTTGTTGCTCTCGCAGCACATCGCAGCACTGGTCTCCGGAAGGAGCATGCCGGCGCCATGGTGCAGCTTCGGAGCATCACCGAGGAGGCGAATTCTGCATCTGTCACGCCCGCCATGCCCAGAGCTTTACATTCAGCTTCGTCTGGTTGTCAGGACATCGCCTTGGCTCGGAGCGAGCACGACCGAGAGGCCCGTATGGCCCGAGTTGCCATCCTGGATCCGTCCTCAGCCGGGCTTGGGCTTGCCGGCTTGCCGCGCTTCTACCGGGTCCCGGGCACCTCAGGAGCAGTTCGTGGGAATTCTCCGGGACAACGGTGACAAGCAGCTGCGGGGATTCCACAACGCCGCGCCCGCTCGTCTACGGTCCTTGACTGTCTGGTGGAGACCGCAGCCGGCCTTGCGCCAGGACCTTCAGGATCTGAAGGGCGCGCTCCGTGTCTTTTGCAGGGTCAGGCTGGATCCGACTTTTCTCGGGGCACAGTAGCGTCGCATGTTGTTTCATGAGGCCCCTGAATGGGCGAGAGATCAAGAAGAACGACACAATCGCTGTGGAGGCTTTCGTTTGCCCTTTCTCCTTGCAGTTGGAAAAAACGCTCCTGATTGTTAAGCTGCTTCAGATCTTGGACGCATTCACTGTTGCCGTGAGCAAATCCGAGACCGACAAGCAGGTCGGTTGCGATGTTGTCAGGGTGTCCATTCGAAGCTGTATTCCTGACCGAAACTGTGCGCGGTTCGTTTGTCGCTGTGCTGTGTTCCATGCTCCCTACGGGGTTTCTAGACGCACTGGCTATCCGGAAACCATGTTGCCAGACCTTCGCGTACGATGCTATCTTTGGTCAAGGCGTGGTCTTGATTGCGAGCAGCCCTCCGACGGAAGCTGACGACGACATTGCAGAGCCCAAGGTAGCTCCCAGGCGGATGTCTTCGTGGAGTGCAAGGGCTTGGTGCTGCACTCAGCCAGACGGTAATCGCAGAAGTCAGAATTGGACCGTGCCTATGGCCTATGCAAGAAGCAACCTACAGAGGTGCAGAGCATGATCGACGGATACAACGTGACGGTTTTCACGCGCCCTCCCCAGTCCTGCAGCTGTCAGTCGCATCGCGGGGTTTCATCATGGGTTTGAAAGTTAGAACATATCTCCGTGGTGCAGATTCGTGTACCGTGCCGCGTCTCCGTGTGGAGGTACGGCCAAACTGGAGCCGGAAAGACATGGACGTTGCGTTTCTCTCAGTCTCTGGCAATCCCGTGGAGCTGGCAATTTCGTCAGTCCACGCCCTTTGCAGCAAAGCCATCTATTGCACGATGCACCTGCCAGTTCGGAAGTACGTTAAGGGGTAGCCGAGGTACGGCTCCGGCGCGGAGCCTGGTCTCTCGCCTCGACTGTGCGAGGCGCCCCTTAGTTTCGGAAGGGTGTGAACTGGGGTGTGAACGGTTCCAGAAGTGCTTTTAACAGCTAGTTTGTGGTTAGATTCCAGTGCAGGCGGACTATGTAGCTGCTCGTTGCTCGGGTGCTGCAGGAAGTGTTTCGTGTGGTTCACAGAGATCGAGAGAAGCAGGGCGCCCAGTCATCAGTAACGGGGACCGGGGCGAGGCCTCTCGTCTCTTGGCTCCAGACAGGCTCGAGTTCGAAGTACGGGCCTCCATGATCGAGCTCTACCTGTCTGTCTGGAACTCAGAAGACCTGGAACTGCACACAGTATGACACTGTATGACAGAATGACGGTATGATGATTTTGATGTGCACGGCCGGCCCGAAAGAGCCATGACCAGGACCTGCGCGACTTGCTTTCCAAGAACAAGGACATACCGTGGCGACACGCTACATGCGCTGTCTATCGTTGGGGCTGGCATGTCTGAGCATCTCCCGACCTCGACTCATCAACAATGCTTGGCAGCGTAGCGGCGTAGCGCATGGAACATGCAGGAGCCTCCCAAGCTGGAGTTGAAGAGCTACAAGCAGGCTTTGCACTGATCTTGGGGCACAAGGGCCTTCAGGATTTCGAGGTATGTTGCGGCAGGTTGTCGCTCAAAAGTTGCTTTGCAGAACTGACACGAATGCAGGCAGATGGCACCGCCGCTCGTCTGCACTTTGTGAGGGATTTGCTTGGTAGCAGTAGCAGATGAACTCATCATGTCAGGAACTTCGTGCGCTTTCCAGGTCTGGGTTGATGTGCAAGCAATTCTTCAGTTCACTTATTCCTAAACCTTGAGGTGCTGCGTATTTGCAGTATGCGCCACAACTCCACGATCACTCGAAAAGCACCTACAAGTACGTGTCCAGTGCACTCTTGCCGTAGAATTGAGCGCTCCAGAGAAGAACCCTCCTAGCAGAAGCCTGATGCATTTTAAATTGAAGAAGTTTAAAGACCAGTGTTCCCTCCACGTCCTTTTACTTGTAGATTGTAGATCCAGGTTGGTCAGCGGCTGGAAGGTGTCACGGAGACGCTGGTGCGCTCATCCGACGATCTCGTCAAGGCCAGTGGACAATTTGAACGAGTTTAGCAAGCAAGTCCGGCCCGGAGAGAAATTGTTGCGGGGTTATGGCCGGTAGCCTGTGCAATGCATTGAAGTCTATTCTCTCGCTGATGTTGCGCACATTGGGATGGGGCTTCAGACTTGCTTCGTTGACGCACAGTTCGGAGTCTGATCACGATGGTGAACGTAGAGCGAGCAAGTGAGGGAACGGGTGGCATGGGTTGCTACAGAAGCAACCCGTCCAGTTTCCTTGTGCATCCAGAACCCTACCGAATCACCTCAGTGTGCGATAGTGCTGCTGCTGCTGCTGCGACGACGACACAACAACAGCCACTACTGCTTCAGGTCCCGCCTGAAGTGAAAAGAAACTTGTGGGTCATGACCCTCAGCGGTAGAGTACGAGGCTCTATATGTTAGGACGTAAACCCTGTATGGGATGTGAATCATATATCAGCTTGTGAGATTGCATGAGGCTCGTACGATACTTGCAGGTTCGCGGGCAAGAGGACTACTAGCAGCGTGGCACCACTATCGCCACAAGTGATGGTGATGGTAGTGGTGGTCGTCGTCGTAATAGGAGGAGGAAGACGAGGAGGATTAGAAGCAGTGCAGTTCCTACATCAAGCCGGAAGATGCACCGGCATTTTCCCAAGGCAAAATGTAGAGGGTGTGTCCTGGAAACATGATCTGGTCAGTCTCGTTTTTGGCACCGTCAGGACAAGTGGGAATGCTGCAACCGGTACAAATAACTACTGCAGCTACTTGTGTTCCTCAGTGTGTCGCATGTGGTTAAACATGCTCGTGGTGTAGTCGCAGTCGCACTTGCAGTAGCTGTAGCAGTGGCAGGAGCCGCCGCTTTAGTCCAAAGTTCGGCTTGTCAGCTCTTCCTGGAGGACTCCTGGCTCGGACCGGCTGGCTTCGGGTAGCATGAGTGCTTCGAGCCATGTGTCGGAGCCGGAGCAAGCAATGCCATCACTGGACTGCCCTGGATCCCATGGTTTGCAACGGACGACAGTCCCTGAGCCAGGCCGTGTTTGTGATATTTGCGAGGCTATTCTGAAGCCGGGATGGGAGGCTTTTGCTTGCCAGGCCTGTGACTTCGATGTGTGCTCTGCGTGCAAAGAAAACGGCCTTACGAAACCTGATGCTCAACTGGAGAAGATGAAGAAAAGGATTCATGGCTACACCACCCGACCACGAAGCTATGCTGACGAGGGCAAGCAGGCAGCAGCTCGGGCCCTGTTGCCGGCAGCTTTCACAGACGGAGCCCACGCGCGTTGGGGGCCAGTGTTGCTTCTGGAACTGCTGAAATGGTTTAAGTCCGACTTCTTCAAGTGGGTTGACAGCCCTTCCTGCGAACATTGCTCCACAAAAACCTCGCTGAAGCATGAAGGCATGACTGAACCTTGCAAAGAGGAGCTTCGCTACGGAGCGACTCGCGTCGAAGCTTGGCGCTGTGATGGCTGCCAGTCGTTGGTGAGATTTCCACGGTACGATGACCCTGAACGGCTCCTTGAGACTCGGCGAGGCAGGTGCGGCGAGTGGGCAAACTGCTTCACGCTGATCGCGACCGCTTTGGGCTACCAGGCCAGGCTGGTCGTAGACTGGACTGACCATGTTTGGACGGAAGTCTGGTACAATGATAAGTGGCACCACTGCGACCCCTGCGAAGCTTGCCTTGATGCACCACTGACCTACGAAGTCGGATGGGGAAAGAAGCTGACCTACATAGTCGCCTTCGGACAGCAGGAGGTCGTTGATGTAACCGCGAGATACACCCGTGACTGGGGCTCGGTCCTTGCGCGACGCACGGCTCTCTCGGAAGAGCAACTGGCCAAGATCATCGAAGACGCGGACTCGCGCTTAAGAGGGCCTCTGCCGAAACCTGCTTGGAGGGAGCAGGAAGAGTCTGAGCTCCAGAGCTGCAAGACGCAGCCGGAGGGCGTTTGCAGTCTTTCAGCAGCCGAGCTCTGTGGACGCACGTCCGGCTCTGCGGAATGGCGCCAGGAGCGGGGAGAGCTGGGCGCGAGCCTTCCAATCCTCGAAAGCAAGGACTCCACTCTGATTCATCTGATCGACCCGGGATGCGTGGAGGTCGAGGCCGTTGGTGGTTCTAGGTCCCAGTCCTCGGGTTGAGGGGCCTGTTTGGGTTTTGAGAGGCTCCTTCCAGACCACTCTTCGGCCCTGTCAACCCTCTGGAAGTATAAAACCTATCAAGTAAGAACGCCCAAGGGCACTGACTCCTAGAAGTTCCTCCACAAGCCAAGCTGAACACCCTGAACTCTGAGCCGTTCTGAGCCTTCCAAATCCCAAGTCTCGTCTCGGGGGGGTTCCACAAACCTGGATGAAGAATCACTAGGTCACTAAGGCCGCCCTGTAGGCTGTTCCTAGCTGCTCTCGTGCTGCCAAGCTGCTCTCGGGCGCGGCGCTGGGGGATCTTTCTGGCGTGAGGTGCCTGGAGCTACGAATGCCGATGGCAGAAGTGGAGGTCCCGGCTTCTGACATCGCCCCCGACGCCTTTCTGTCGGAGGAGGGCTTCACGGTAGAGGCCTGGGTCGCTGCTTTGGCGGAGGAGCTACACCCTCTGGCCCATGCCAATCCCCTCATCTCGCGCCACGGCCCGGCATCAGGCTGGGAACTGCGGCTTTGTGCCACGGGAGCCGTGGTCTTTCTCGTGACCGTCGACGGAAAGCACTGGGAATTGGAAAGCCCCAGATGTTGCGAGTGGCGTGGCCAGTGGATCCACGTGGCTGGGACCTTCGATGGCGAAGTTTCCCGCGTCTTCGTCGGCAAGGCGCCCAAGAGAGCCCCGTTCTGAGCACTGCCCCTACTCCCCTAGTGCTCGAGCCCGAGCCGAGAGCTTTCCCAGAGCCGTGTACGGCCTAAGATGCAGAGAATGCTATGAGCGCAATCGCAGGAGATGCAAGGGGAGCTGCGAGTCGCTCCTTCCAAAGGCGACCCGACGGCACACAGCCAATTAGAGCATACATAGAAACATCGTTTTTGAGAAGCAAGCCGAGCGTAGGCGTAGTCGCTGCGAGCATCACACCTTCCGGTTGCATCTGTCCGTGTGGCAGCGCAGGCACCCGAGTGGCCTTTGAAGGGCCGCTGTGCCTTGGGAGAAATCCAGCTTGGAAGGACCGCGGCGCCCGATGTTGGCTTCATGCGTCGCGCGTCGCGTGGCTTGCCTGCCGTTTGCCTGTTTCCCCGACCCAACGTCTCAAGTTGCAATGTTCTTGCCTTCGCCAGACTGCACCGAGGCGATCCGTCGTGGCGGAGAGTGCCTTTCTGCCCGCGCCCAAAGTGCACGGAAGCAGCTTTATTTGACCGACCTCTTCGGGCCAAATGCATTCGACGAGCAGACCATGGCGCTTTTCCAGTTGTACAGTCCCAGGACGCGTGTAGAGGACGCAGTCGGCGGTGGAGAAAGCCTGTGGGTGGGTGGAGGGGGGGAGTGCCTTTTGTGCCCCTCTCCTTCCGATTCCTTTTTGCTTCCCGTCCCTTCCTTCTCTGCCCCGCAGCCGGTGCTGGTTCAGGTGGTGGCCACCGGCTTGGGGAACCGCAAGGTCCGCGCCACGAAGATGAACGCCGACTCCTCGAGGCCAGCCGAGCCGCCCCGAGCCGAACGCGCCGAACCGCCCTCCGCGTCCACGCCTCTGTCTCTTCGAGCTGCCCTGCGCTGCGATGGAGGTCCCACTTGATGCTGATCATCAGCATGGACGTGATCGACAAGGAGACCGGCAGGCACGCCGCAGGTGCTCTGCTTGAAAAGAGCCTTCAAGCTTGAAGCGACAGCTGAGGCGGCGCTCTGGGAAGATCTCGATCGTGGACCTCGCAGGAGGGGACGTTTGTCCGATTCTGGCCGGTGAGTCAGCACTGAGCCTTCTCTGGGCCAACTCGGTTTCGCGGTTTTGATCTTGTGTTTGTTCATGTCGGCAAGTTAAGTAAGGCAGGCACCTCGTCAGTTATAGGTAGCAGGGTTGCCTCAAGACTCCAGAAGCTGCTGTCTAAGCGTGAAGTAAGTGCCGTGAGTTTGCTGGAGGCTCAGAGCGCCTGAGCAAGAGCGAGGTCACCGGCGAGGTCCCACTGCGAGAACGAGACTTCAGTTCAATGCTGTGGGTTTTCAGGGGAGGCGAGTTTTCCGGTCTGAGGGTGACGGCGTGAGAGGCGGACTTGCAGCTGGGAGGGACGGTCAGGCTCAGAAGGAAGCCATCGAGATCAACAAGTCCCTGACAGCGCTGGGGGATGCAGGGGCCTTGGCCCATGAAGCGCCCGCTTGCAGTTACCGCTGCCGTGGTCGCCCAGTGCATGTTGAGGTGATGATGGCTTTCGCCTCCAGGGCCAAGCTGATCCCGTGCCACTCTCAGAAGAATCCAAACAGAGATTGGAGCTCAGCCCGGGCCGCCCGGGCCCCGCGGGCCCCGCGGGCCCCTTCTTCCGCGGCCTAGCGCCCACAAGGTACCGCAACCACAAGCTGACGCAGCTGATGCAGGACTCGGAAGGGGGATCGCATGTTGTTGTGTTCCTGTGAGCTTGGTTTTGGCCTGTTTGTACTGGCTAGGACAGTTTGGGGGGCTCGGCGAAGACCTTGATGTGGCGTGGCTGCCGTGGAGTCTCAAAGCCTTCATATAAGTATTGGCGAAGATGTCAGCATCAGCACCCGATGCTAAAGGTTTGTCAATATTTCGCCGCTGCAGCCTCAGATGCAGCATGCAGCTGTCTAGCGGTCTAGGGTTTTTTGAGTTTCTACGTACCCCGCCCTGGCGATCTGACGACCTCAGGTCATCGTCGAATACGGATGAAACCATCAACTCTCTCAAGTATGCGTCAAGGGCCAGGCCAGGCTTGATACAAGAGTGTTCTCTCTGTGTCTGTGTTGCAGTTGCTGCGGGGCAGGTGCATCGAGAACGAAGTGAAAACGAATATGCCGGGCTTGAAGAGCACCGGGCGTTAGTGTTCAGGCCTGGGGTTTGCCTCGCCTTGCCTTGAACTGCTTCTCTGGCCGCAACCAGATGCTTTGTTCCGTGGGCGAGGCCGTTTTGCCGACCGAGTATAGAGCAGATGCAAAGACCATGCTGCTGTTAGTGTACATTGCAACGCGAGTCTGAGTCTGGGAACCCTGGAGCTCGATGCTTTTCTCGAGTCCAGGTGCGATACCCGTTTCACTGGTGCGTTCAAGAGGGATGCCTGAGGAAGCAGAGCGTTGCAGTCGGAAAACCCTCTTGGCCTGGGGATTGCATGCAAATGCGGCAGCTGCCCCCGAGAAGACCAAAGTCTGGCTGTGTCGTTTCGACCCAGCAGACTTCAAGCGCTGCGCGCCACCTGTCTTGTCGTGTCCGGTTCGGAACAGATACACGGTATAGCCCCGGCAAGATGAGCATGGGAATCAACCCATGAAGCAGTACTAGTCTATGCTACCAGACGTTTACGATTCGATGGTCAAGATGCGATTCGGCTGTAAACTCACACAGCTATGACTAGAGTTCCCGAGTTCCTGGACATCGGAGGTCATGGATAGAAAAAGAGTGATTTGCAGCACCATCCATGAGCCAAAGTTTGACCATGTGGCCAGCATGGACCGCCGAAGCGGCAGCCATCGAAGGACTCGCATGTCAGAAGGGCCATTTATTTTGAAGGCGAAGTGGATGTTCGTGCACCTGAACTTTAAGATTCGATTTGGAGGACGTTGGGTGCAGCTCGGTCAAAGCCTCGCCGAGCACAAAGCCCGCTTCGAGAGAGCCTGTGGAAGCTCGGCGCCTTCACGGCCCCGGGCCCCGCGGGCAACCCAGCCGCAAGGCGAGCCGCCTTGCAGGTTCCATGGGCCGAGCCTCGGAAGCGCGGCCTCGGCTCTGGGCATCTGGGCCGCGCCAAAGCTGCGCAGACTCGGCTCCCGGCGTTCCGGCCCTGGCTCTGCGCTCCGGCGTTCCGCTCAAGGTCCCTGGGCCTGAGAATCAACCAGGAGAATCGAACTGCAGCCTCTGCGAGCACAGGAGCAGACGACGTAGACGTGGATGTCTTCATGCAGAGGATTGACAGCGCAGTCAAGGAGAAGAACATTGAATCCGTGTTACTTGAGCTTGAGAAGCTGGGCCTTGATCTGTGCCGGTGCTGCAAATGCTAGAAGGAATACCACGAATTACTTTACCATGGCGATGATGAAGTGTGATGATCGACGACGACGATGATGGTACGATGGCTATGGTGCCAACGATAACGTAGCAATGCTATGCCAGGGCAGACATCGATGTTGCAGAGGAGCAAGAAAACCCTCATGCTGCGGACAAAGCAGCCTGCTTTATGAGCATGATCATCGAACCTTGTTTCTCTTCCAGAGGGTTTCCGATAACCCCGCAATTTCATCACAAAGAGAGCTATCTTCCCCCTAGGAAACTGGCCAAGGCACCGTTGAATCATTAGGTCGCTTGAACCTGGCTTTCCTCTCCTGTCTAAATCGCAAAAGATCAACATCTCGCGTCTGTGACGAATGGATTCACACAGCTTGCTGTGCAGATAGATCCGCTTTTATGGGTTGGCGGTATTCTTGTTGGGCAAGCAGCATCTCACCTGCATTTGCTGAAACCATGCACCTGTGTAATCGTACGATTAGCAGAAGCTCTCTGATCCCAAGGACGGCTGAGACATGTCAGGGGTCGGACGTTTACGCGAAGCTTCTTGACGGCGCTCTCGCGTCCTTACTTGATGCTGGGGCACAGCGAGCAGCTGTTCAGTGTTATCAAAGGTGGGGTGCAATCGGATGAAGAAACATGCTGTGGCTTCTCCTGTGTCCGTGACGGATTTTAGTCCCTCGCAGGGCCGAATAGTCGCACAGTCTTGCCAGAGTAAGCCACAGAAGGATGCAACGCTCCGGTTCTAGGTGGTGGTGTTTGTTCCGATGCATGTATCTTTGTGTATGTAATATAGATTATATATCAGCGATTCCAGCTGTTGCCCGGAGAAGACCGGCATCCTGGACACGTTTCGTTTTGAACCCCGACTGGCCCAGTGATTCTGTCTTTCGCCAAGCACCTCCCACAGAATCCCGATAAGCGAAGTGGTGTCTGTGCCTCCGTCAAAGGCCCGTGTGTAGGCCAGCTGTGACCGAAGTGAAGCAGGGGAGGCCGCGTCGGCTTCCAAAACCGGCTGAGCCCGCCCTCCCTCCATCCTCGTAGCTTGTGGCAGCGAAGGTTTTGTGGGTTTGGGGCCCTTCTTTTGAGTTCGCGAGTTTTGCAGAGTCTGCTGTGGGATTGTCGGTTTCCGGAGTGAAAGCTAGCCAATGTGAAGGTGGTGCTGGAGCGAGACCACCAGGCCGGCTGAGCTGGCGAAAGTCACCCTTAGTTTTTACTATGGTTCTGCCCACCCCATACAGTACACATTCCTTTTGGCACCCTTTATGTCACAGAGACATGTCCGACAAGTCCCTGGGCCTCCCTGGAAGGACAGTGGTATCAGTGTCTGTTAGAGAGCAAGTGCTGCATGTCCTGGCAGCCAACTCTCAGTACTTGCCTGCGGCTGCGCATGTTCATGATCTGTTGAGCGACGGCGACGTGGATCAGAAAGATGCAGTAGCACTATTCAACAGCATTCTCCTGGGTATCTATAAGTCCGGGCACGCACTGACGGCAAATCGTGCGGATCAAGTTCTAAAGAAGATGGAGGAGTTGGGTGCCACGCCCAATTGCGAAACCTTGCGAGTACTGGTGGAATGTAAGACGCTGTATGCTGGACCCGGATTTCTCATGGACGTCGGGCAGACTGTTCTGAATGTTGCACGGCGCTTTGTCGGCATTCCGCCTGATGGCGGCGTACTGCTGGCGGTGAGCAATTCGCATCTGCGGGCTGGGGACCTCGAAGCTGCTTACCGATGGTTCGTCGCGAGCCAGTTGGAGGAACGTCGACGGCACCTCGGCGATGCCTTGGAGCTGGTTTCGCAGCTGGCCCGTGGCCTTGCAGTCGGAGGCCAAGCGCTTCGACTGCTTCGTGTGTTGAAGGCGGTGAAGGCAGATGGTGGGAAGCTCCCCACCAGAGCTGCATCTGTGGCCCTGGCCGGCTACACTGCAGGTCGCAGTCTTTGTACATGCTGGCTGGAGCCTCCTGCAGATGTCGTGCGACGACGTGGTGTTTGGGCTTCTGGAAACAAAGTGCAGGTGAAATGTGCCGAGCAGTGGAACTGGCAGAAGCTCGAGGAATCCCGCCACGAAGTACATCAGTGGCATCCATATCTGTCGCCGGACACCAAAGTTGAACGAGCCTGGCTCGCACCACTGCGCTCTTTGGACGTGAATGGCCTGGGCCTTGTGCGGGACTGGTGTGGGGAAACGCCGGCACAGGCCACTGCCAGGGAACGGCTCGGCGATCGCGGTCCCACTCCGCCCCTTCTCGACATGAAGTCGGCGCTCTGCGTGGAGCCACCCGGCGCTGGCCCAGATGCCAGCCGCAGCTTCTTCTCAGTGGCAGAGCGGAGCCGTAGCCGACCTGTGGCTCGGCTGCCGAACCCCAGAACTTGGCGCATCTTCCACGCCGACGCCGTGAAAAGGGCTTATGGGAACGCAAACCGCCGCCGAGTGCCAAGCCCGTCGCACCTCCGGCATCCCGGTGGCACATTCGATTAGTGGCTAGGTTTCAGGATTCGGTCTCAAGTCATCCGCATGAGTATGAAACATGCGCTACCAATGAATGTGTGCACTGTAGAAAGATGTCAGGATGCAGATCGCTACTGACAATGGCAAGTGCAATCCTAGTGACTTAGAGCCTCTCTGCCCTCATGACTGTCATGCTCCTTCGAAGCAGATGATGAAGCTTGACACCACAAGCCAGAGACAAAGCAGAGCTCTGTCTTACCAGGCAGCATCTCCTGGCGGAGAAGTCTTCTCAGCTTCTGTTGGGAGCACGGCCTGCGTGCCTGGCTCCGTGTTGTCTCTCATCTCTGTCTATTTGAAGTGGCAGACGTGGGCATCTGAAATCTTCGAGTACCGTCCGGCCAGGTAGCAACACCCTTGCAGATCCCTTACAAGAAGCTGAAGGACAGCGGAGGGTGAACAGCTGAAAAGCTGTGACGAGGTCCGTCCTGTCACTGTGTATACTCAGGGAGATATAGCAAGGAACATGTCTTGACATGCCTGCCAGTGCTTCTGGTACGCGAGATGCAAAGGAGATCATTGGGACTCTTACGACCGAGGAGAAAGAGACCTTGATCCACTTCAAGGACTCGGTACAGGTATGGTGCCTGTGCAAAGTGTTTGCTAGAGATCTAGCATATAACGGATGCGCAGAGCTCTCTTCCTCTCTTCTAGAACGTCTGACGGATCTTGCCGAATCATCGCAGAACAGGAGTCGCGTTTCTCCAAGGCCTCCAAGGAGGAGCTTCAACAAGCTCTCACCGATGCGAAGGCACCACCTCAAGTTACCTCAATCCCCGCATCTCTCCCCATCGCATCCATGGGCAGATTGATGCCGACCTCGCCGGCAGCACTTCGGAGGCCGTCAAGGCCTGGCCGGGCATGCGCCGGCATACCGGGTCGGGCTCGTTCGAGCCATGGCTGTGGAGCTCGGGGCATTATTTCTTACACGGGGCTTCCACGCCATGTAGCCAATACATCCCAATTCCATAACTCGCAACCTGGACGCTGCATGTCGGTCAAAGACGTGGGTGACAGATCATTGTCAACTGTACGTCCCTCTGTTGCCGTGGTGACTTTGCTCCACTGTGATCTTCCCTGGCAGTCCCTTGTCAAAGTTGCCGCGGCCATGGCAAAGGGGCAGCCGCGCCCTTGGAATGCTGGACTGTTGTACACCGTGTGCGCACCGTGCTCCTGCGCCGCAATGTGGTGTCAGCCAGACTCATGGGTGACGGCTGCACACGTTGTCACGTTGCAGCCCTGGCATCAGAAACCGATCGTGCTCAGGCCTTACCTTGAGAGGTTGACTGATGAGGCCCAGAGCATCGGGTGACAGGTGCTACCAAGTAGCTGCTAGCAACGCCAGTCAGAAGTCGTGCGGTTCTACCCCAGACATTGTCCAGGTCAGCCGTTGTCAACAACTCTCGAAACCACTCTCCACCACAATGAGTTTCTGCACCAGGAGTATGTGGAAGCCGTGGAGAAGATGTCGGAGGAGGAGCTGCAGGAAGCCTGGAAGGTGGCACCAAATTGCGGCACGCGGAGCTTTTCCGAAGTCTTAGCCCAGGTGTTGTGCTTGAGACACGAAACCTGATCCCTTTTGGGTGCCTCTTGGCTTTGCCAGTTCCTATGCTCCGAGCGCAGCACAGAAATCATGGGTGGGCCGCTCAGTGCAAGGAATCGCCTTTCATTCGTGTGCTCTGAGTTTGTTGTCTGGTTCTGGTCTTGCGTCATAGCTCCTTTTCTCGAACTCGATTTGTTCAGGTACCAAACTGTCCACTGACGTGGAGGCACGATGCCGGGGCTCGAAAATTTGTCGGTGCATACAGACTGCTTGACCTGAACTGTGACGAGATCACCCCAAGTCCTCATCCAACGCCCGAAGAAGTGTTGACTCACGAAACCCATCATTGTCAGGAGAAGCTTCTCTCTGAGCTGCAGGCAGCACTTCCTGTTCTTCTTTCATGTCGATCAACATGGCCTCCAGTTTCGGAAAAGATGGTCTTGTAGCACACGCAGGAGGATGAGCAGCTGGACGGGAGCGCCGAAGACGAGCTGCAACTGGCACCTGGCTGAGGGCGGACTCGGACAGCATGACTATCAGTCTCGAGTCGGCCTTGCTGTTTGCCAGAGTGCTCGATTCCACATAATGGAAAAATACGAGAGAATCACAATGTAGAGCCGCCTCTGCATTGCAGTGCAGGAGCTGCACTCCCGGACATCGAGAAAAGACTCTGGTGTATAGAAAAATCTATATCTTACGACATCGAACCTTCCCACGGTCCCCGTCCCACCCGTCCCCCGTTTGTCCCGTCTCGTTCCCTTCCGTTCTTTCCCTTCCCCGTTCTTGCCGTCCGTCCCGTCCTGTGCCGTCCCGTCCCGTCGCGTCCCGCTCCGTCCCGCTCCGTCCCGGCCCCCATCCCGTCCCGTTTGTCCCGTCCTGTCCGTCCCGTTCTCTACTGTTCCGACCCGTCCCTGCATAAAGAGAACATCGGAAAGAATGTCTCTTCGATTTCCGGCGGCAATATCCCCGCTACTGCACTTCGGCGCATCAGGCACTGGAGATTCTGGCTACCTTGCGCGACGTCGGGGTGGCGTACTCAGCCAGTGCTTGGAGAATGGTTCAATAATCCTAGATAGCCTCGCGATCTTGCATTCATGCATGTCTCGGTTCCTTGAATGCTTGTGGCTTATACCTCTTGCGTCTCTGCACGCGAGCAGTCGGTGGCGTCCCAGTTCGACAGCACACGACAGCAATTTGACTGCCAAGCGTGCAAGGTCAAGCCGACCGCTATGGACTGCAAGGCTTGGGGTCCCTGTGCAAGTTGTCGTCGGGCGGTCCTTGTTTACTTGGGTGTGACCGTGAAGAGTTTGAGAAGTCGCGCTCGCAGGCCTTGCTACAAGCTGCCCATGCTCTCGGCGATGTCGATCTCGCAGGAAAGGCCTGGCCGGAGCGTGCAGAGCCCCACTCCATGAACCGTAAGTTCACACATGAAAACGACTCTGGCTTACAATTATAATATTTCGATCGGGTCTGCGGCTTGCGGGTTGATGGCCGTATAAGGCCTCAAGCTAAACACTATAGGGGCAGTTGGGGTATGGGGCCTAGACTCAAGCAGATTAATTATCGTCTTCCCAAAGCCCCAAACCTGCAAAGTAGAGACCCGGGAAGTCGAAAACCAAGCAAATGATGAGTCCTTCAAGTCGAATGTCCGACATTAGACAGAACTGTCAAAACCCGGGTTGCGGCAAATCCGAACGAGCCCCCTCCTGTCCCATAGTGAAGAATCGGCAGTTTGTCTCTCAAGCGTATGAGGCCTGAGGCGCCGCAAGTTGTTCGGACGAGCGTGCCCTAATCGAAGGGTCTTCTTCCTCCTGGCATCTCAGATCGAACAGTTCGGCCCATACACATCCGGCACAACCTGACTTGTTGACCTGTCAGGTCATGGAGAGCGTCGCCGGGAGTCTCGCGGAGCAGGAGGCGGCCTGGTGCCGGGTTGCACAGCTGCCACGGGCCATAAAATGGAATGAGCAACCGTTTGCTGCGCATGATGGAGTCAGAGAGGACCTTGATCGATATGCTGGAACGCAAAACCCGGCGGGTTAAATTCAGCACAGCGAGCGGAAGCGCCCTAAGCGCTTGACTCCTTGTGCAGCCCAAACTCGGAATGCCGATCAGCTGGAGATATCACTGTGAGCTTGACCCCGGAACCACCATGGCTCGCGAGACCCGACACCTTGTCTGGAGATGCAATCCTCCCACTCCCCTCCTTATCGTGGCCCTTGGAGTATACCCCTTTTCGTGAAAACCCTAAAAATTAGGCCTACGGGGGGGTACAGCAGCCGCAGCTCCGGAGCCAGGAGCCCGAGGAGGGTGAGCTCGGACCGGCGGGGCAGGCGATGCTGCAGGCGCCCCAGGGCCTACAAGATAAAGGGTCCCCTTTTTGGGTACCCTTAAATACAGGTGCCGTATTATAGGGACCCAAAAAGGGACCTGAATTTGACAACCGCCCATAGGGCCTCTGGGGAGTCTGGGCCGAAAGCTCCACCAAACGTAGAAAGGAGAGATTTGACGACGACTGCTATTGCTATTACTACCATTACTGTACCATAACTAACTACCACTACTTCTGCTACCGCGACTAGTAACTGCTCGAACTACATGAGTGCTCCTAGTAGGCCACGTCTCACTGGCTTTCAGCAGGGGCATCACGTCATATGAAGATACGGACTTGTAAGTTAGACATGAGCCTAACCGTAGCGAGAGAGAGAGAGAGGGACACAGACCAGTGCGCGCATGCGCGCGAGAGGGCGCTCCTGCACCCTCTTTGGCTGAGTGCAAGCAAGATGTGTGTCGTTTCTGCATCAAAGCCACCTCTACACCCGGCAACGACCGGGACTGCGGAAATCAATTTTTGCGAGGGCCTCAGGCAAGCTGGAGGTCGAGGGTGCTTCAGTATAAGCCACATCGGGGACCTTTCCCCCCCTCTCCGACAGCTACCCGAGTTCCTCCTGTGTGTCACCTCGAACAGACTGACGGACCATGGCGTAGCGCTCGCGCGCAGGGGTTAGGGGTCACCCCCCTAATCTCCACACGCCCTGCAAGCAAGCAAGACAGCGTCTCCCACTCAGCAAAAGATCAAAGGATGACTCCTGATCCGGTGCAGAGATTCTGGCAAATGATCCCCTCGACTAACGAAACCTATTGCCGGAGAGCCCTAAATCCCTAAACTTCGCTAGACCCTAAATGCTGAAGGTGTCGTAGCATTTCATGGTGACCTCCCTGAGCAGGTCATGGAAGACGGTGGCTGGGACAGGGACGCCTCAGAGGACCTCCACTGTTCCCACTTCCCATTTGCCTCATGTTGGGTCCTGTCTTCTCGTGCAGTTCGGTTCAAAGTGTTTTTTCCTGAAACCTCGAGTGCTTACACGATGGGTGTTCTCTTCTCATCTCAAGCAGTGTCAGGATTTCCTGAAGGGGAAGCGTGTCTTCACAAGGCTCTGGTGTGTCAAACCTCTGCAGCGCACCTGGCTCTGGCGTTTCTGCAGGCGGGATCCAGAGACAAGCCTGGGCAAGATGCAGACAAGGCCACTGTGCAAGCTTTAGAGCCACGCTTGTCCCGTGAGCCCTCGTGCTATGAGACGGTGAGGTACTTGGATCCACTTTTGGGGGCAGAGGCTTCCGAGCCCTACGCCAAGGATCGAGATGATCTGCTCCAGGTGCTGTTCTGAGCCGCTGCACATTGCAGCTTGCCTGTTGCCAAAGTGGCAAAGCAAGTGCTGGGTTTGGCCAAGCAGGCGTTCACGAAGCCTTACACCGGCAAGATCACTCCTTTCAACAGGAAAAGTGCTCTCAAGCAGGCGCAGGTTCCGTGCCGGATGTGTTGTCGCGGGTTTCGGAACCTATGAGCCTCGAGCATTGTCGCTTTTTCGCGACTGTTATGCCCTTGGAAGGATGAAGACGATGATGCTGACAGCATGAACGAGAAGAGTGAGAGGCGGCAAAGTGCCTGAGTCGCAGTGGTTGTCTTCATCTGACCAAGTTTATTTGCTGCCAAAAATTTGCTTCAGGCAAGCTTGATGCTCAAAGCTCTGCAGCTCTTCTTTTCCTTTTTGTACCCTCGAGCTGAGGCTTAAGCGCAGGGAATGTCAAGGGTTAGCATTGTGCTTGAAGGACCGGGTGCTTGTAAAGGGTGGTAGTGGAAAAAGCTTGTATTGCTTTGTCAGTGAGTGCGGCCAAAAATCAGCTTCAACGAAATCGATAGTCCCGAGGTTGTTGGGAACAGGTCGGTAAACCTCCCACTTGCCATGTTAGTGCACTTTGTTGGCACTGCTTTCGTGTCTACGATTTGAATTGTGTGCTAGACCGCAGTAATCAGACAGAAATGGAAGTAAACCCCGAAGGAGGCACCACTGGATTTGCTGAGGCGTGACCTGGACGAGCCAGAAGAAAGACGAAGCGTCCGAAGAGACAGTCGAGGAGACGCAATACAACGCAATCAAAGCTCTGTGCGCACTGGCCAAAAGCCTTTCAGCTCTTACCAAAACCATGGTCTACGCGTAGAGGCAATAAAGGCTGAAGGCACCGATGTAATCACGGCCTCCTCGGGTGTGGGCCAATGCTTGCCTCGACCTTTCGTAGAAGCTTGCCAGTTCTCCCTGCAGGAGAAACACGTGGTGACACGCTCGGATATCTTGATAGCCGGCGTGCAGCACCCAGAAGAGGCCTTCACGAATGATGTGGCGGGCAGAGGGCGACAGAGCAGAGAGCAAACAGCGAAACATTGACACAGGCAGCAGCCCTGGTCGCTTTGGACGGGGCCTCAGCTTCAGCTTGGCAAGCAGAGGCAGTGATTGAGGGAAGCGGTCAGATACCTCAGGCTGGCAGAGACTCAAAGGGGCTCATGTACAACAACTCATCGGTCCTTCGCGAGCACTTGGACCGCTTGGGGTGCCGTGGCTTCGATCATGAGCGCAGCATCCTGCAAGTCCGAGTCGACCGCTCTGCGTGGCGCCGTGGGGCCTCTAAGACTCTAGCGCCAGGCTGACGCCTCCCACGAAACCGAGCGCGTCCAAAAAGCTGCCCGCATCTCAGAACGCTCTCAGCACAAACTCTGAATGCAGCGCGTCCCTCTGGAGGCTGGCCTTTGCGGTCGAAGTCCTTAGTGAGGCTGCCGAGACTCGCGCGATGGTGGCGTGACGTCTCACCAGGATTGCCGTAGTATCCCCCAACACTTCCGCTCCACCGTAACTCCCTTTCGGCTCCCGAAAATCAGTCTGCTGAATTTTGTGCAGAGATCGTGTAAGCCAAGCGCAGCTGAAGCCAGGCAGCAAAGTAACACAGGGTACGGAGCTGCTCTAGCTTCAGCTGACAGGCAAGCTGCTTGCCATACGTAGGGTCAACGCAAAAGTCCGGACAAAGCCAGCTCCGTGCTATAAATGGAGTGACAGGCAGAGGTGGACTGCGACGAAGCTCTCTGTAGGACGATTTTGGACATTTGTACGAGCAGCAGTGCAGTGCCGGCCTTTGGCGGCACTTGCGAGTTGTAGCTGGCATGAAGCCTCTCATGACAACTCTGCTGCCATCACTGCCCGAGCCTCCGGGCCTGGAAGAGTCATGCACCACAGGACCCAGGCAAGACAGACTGTAAAGTGTCATGAGAGCTGGTGTAGCTGTGTAGCTGATTGCACCGTACCGTAGCTACTATATGAGATTGCCGATGCCACAAGGGATCTTGAATTAGCCTCAACTCGTGGTATTTTTTCGCGACTGCCTAACATGCAGCCTGTGCGGCTGCATGGTACGCATTTGTGAGCCGCGATGTCTGTTGCTTCAGAGCCGTCTTTGGCAGTGGGTCCAACCACAGCTCAAGTGGCTCCTGCGCCACCTCCTGTGCCCGTCTTCTCTGTTTGGGACTCCACGGGTGGTGAGACCGCCGACGTGTTACTCCGCTGGCATCGCAGCTTGCCGGAGCTGCCTGAGGATGACGAGCCTCTGTGCATCTTACAACTCCGCCTGGTGGGCCCTGAGGGCGGCCAGGGAAAGGAGCTGGAGTTCTTGGAAGCGCGGCTGCAGAAGCATCACCTGCAGCCCCCTCTGGCAGCATGGACCCCCTCTCAGCTGGAGAGGCTCATGGCCGTAATGGCGGAGCAGCGTCGCGGTGCTCCCCCCAACCACGACGAGGTGCGGCTGCGCCGGGCACCAGGTCGCCTGGTCATCGACGTCCACTTCAGGAGTCAGGTCGACTACGGAGGAACCGGAATCTCCTTGAGCGGCTGCGTCGTCGAAATCCTCAATGCCTACTCGTCGGCTGTCTCAGCATCCCTTTCAGCTGAGATTTTCTCAGCTGCGGGACTGATGTAAAGCCTCAGGTCCGGCAGATCTGCCCGCAGCGACACTCTGGAGGTGCTCAGGTGCCGCTCTTTCGTGTTGCTTGGGTTAGAGGCGGGTCCTTAGACCCCTTCGGGCACGGGGAGGCCATAACCACAGCACAATCTTCGGATGCGGATGGCACTGTTGCGATTTTTTTTGGGTGTCCACATCAGAGCCTGAGCGTCCTTTTCCAAGCCAGGGCCGTCGCGGCGGCGCAGGCGCTGCACACGAAGGCTATCGACGAGAGCCGGGTTTCCATGGAGGCGGTCGGTTCAAAGGGAGATGCTAGGTCGGGGAGGTCGTGAAGGGGTTGCTCTTGGTAGCTCGTCCGCACGTCAGGGGCTCCAAAGCGAGATGGACCGGCTGGAAGGGGAATGGACCAAGGCCTGCGCCGGGCACTCAGACGATGCTCCGGGAGTTCACAAGGTCTTGGCTGGACCGGAGCCTCCAGTTGAGTTGGTACAGATGTGATCCGAGGCAAGTGCGAAGAAGCGGCACCGTGGTCTTCTGCAGCGGTTTGCGCTCGTCTTGCAGGCCAAGATTGACAAGGCGGCTGCCTGCTACACCTTCAAATCAGGGTTTGTTCACTCACCTCGTCATGCAAGGAGCGGAAACTTCATGAAGAAATCCAGGCCCGAGTGCTTTGCATGCGCAAAATTCGAGTTTGCATCGGGTTCTAGTTTCAATGGCCTCCCTAGTGCCAAAGGCTTTGTCATGACTTCGAAGTTATTAACAACTTTAGGCAGATGTTGGGGCTTTCGTTCTGCTCAGGTGCGCCGGTGGAACCAGCAGGGCGCTGTCGCCGGACGCTTGATTCGCTTGAATACAGCGATTGCTGCGAACACTTGGACAGTCTGGTGATGTCTGGTGTGGTGTGTCTGTTTCACCAACGTCAAATCCTACATCAGAAACTCGTCTTCCCCCTTGCTCGCGTGGTCGTGCCGTGCTGACCTCACTGTTCAATTTTGCAGAGCCAACTGCTGACTATTCCAGCTTTGATATTGTGCATCGTGCTTGGTTGTCTAGTCTGGTGTTCTCAGGCTGCCGCTGCAGCTCCCACACCAGCAGCTGCAGAGGAGGGCGAGTGTTCGGAGGGGTATAAGTTTGGGTCAACCTTGCAGTGTTGCCTCAGGAGCCCATGGAGGTCCGCGGGCGTGGTCGCAGAGGGCGTGGTGGAGGCCTACTCAAACTTGGGATGATTGTGGGTTTTGTTGGACAGCAATGGCCGCCACTGAATGATGCTTAAGCCTTCATCACTGCTTCTCGCACACGGAGGATTGTGCCAGTCGGCAGTGCAGCTTGATCTCCGGGCGTTCCGTCCATTGGCTTGTGCGATTCGTTGATGCGTCACTCCGATGTTTGCAAGCCCCGAAAGCGCGGGCAGGAGGAGGGCGCCGTGGAAGGGGACGAGGGGCGGCAGCTGTGCTGGAAGGCGACTGACCGGATCTCCGGCGTGAGGTTGCAGCGCTATCTGCCCGAGCTTCTCGGGTGTTGTCCCCCCTCCCTCGCTGTCTCTCCTTCTCTCCCTCTACACACACATACGCTGACCGAGACATTAAGATACATTTACATTCATGCCTTGTCTTCGCATATACGGATTCATATACGCTACTACGAGAGGACGGGGCCCAACCCTTTTTGAGCCACTCTTCTGCAATCTTCTGCAGGGGAGCGGTCACGGAGCCCCAGAGGAGACAAGCGCCCGTGGGACGAGGCCTGCAAGGATGGGTTGATAGGAGGAACAGGACATGGGGGAAATCATCGTACCCGTCGTAGCTTCTCTGTTTCGGCTACTGGCAATGTGGGAAGGAGGTCGCATCATGGAAAGATTCAGGTGTGGCCTGTGGGTGTGCCTCAGCCACGTGACGAGACGGACAAATGCTGGAAAACACCTGACATGTGTGGTTCGGGTGCTTCTTTTGTCGAGACCTTGCCCGTCATGTGTGGTGGAGGTGGATGATGCACCCATTGCACCCGCGGCGCCGGGCAGCCCGGCTGGCCGCGCTGCGGGTACGCTACCCGTTGGCACTGTCACGCAGGCCGGATTTTCATTCTTGGGGACTGAGAGAGGCCACGCACATCTGCGTATCAGAGCAGTGCAGTTACACAGTAACATCTGTTCTGGATAGGTGTGCGCAGTGTATGCATCACGTTGTGTGGCAGGGCCTCATGATGCCGCCTCCCACAGTGACGTCTGCCATGCCTCCAACGATGAGCCTGTTCGACCCGCCTTCGGATGAGGTCGGCCAGATGTGTGGGTTTATCCTGGGATCTTTAGTGACCAAGATCTTGCGTCTTGGCGATTCGACTAGCGTACTGCGCATGGACGAGCCGCAGGCTCAAGCGCCCAGGGCGGTGAGCAGCTTTTGTGCGATCCGTGTATGGAGGTTTCAGTTGAGATCAAGGCATTTGGCCATGGAGTGCACTGCAGGCTCCATCTGGAGCACTGGCTCCAGCAAATGAACGTGCTGTCGCACGTGGGTTTCTTGCTTCAAATGTATATGTGCCACCTGGCGGAGACTCGCGGAGACGCAGAGATTCTCGAACTTAAGCAGCAAAAGCGAACTCTCGAAGTGATGCAGCTTGAGGCCATGAAAAGTTGCACACCTGCGGAAACGCGTCATGCAGGGCAAGCTGTGCCCTCTTCGAACGTGCCAAGGTGTGATACCGAAACGCAAGAAAAGGGTGCCCCACAGCACGGCAGCCTGCACGACGGCCTGCCGAGCTTGCCCATTGATGTCTTGGAGCAGACCAGTAGCGCGAACGTCATGTCTACGAGCGATGCTGCCTCCGACTCTCCACCCTCAGCGTCGGAGGCTCCTGCAGACCGTGCTGGTGCACAGGCTCTGAGGCAGTCCTTCGTGATACCCCGTATGACAAGAAATAGCAGATCGAAGGCTTTCTCCATTTCCCCCCCGTCTCACGCGCGGCACTTCCGAGATTGGGGCTTCCCGTCTTTTCCCCACCAGGATGCTTCAGATTCCAGCTAGGGCAAGTTTCTCTTCCCAAGGTGGCTCATGCCGATCGCCATCATGTTGTTGTCGTTCGTGGCATTCTCGCGTTGTTGCTCATGTAACACCACAACATAGTCGCTGCCGGCTGTTGAGAAGCTTGTGTGGCTTCCGAGCCCACGGAGGCACTGTCATGGAGTACAAGCCTCATAAGAGGAGCTATGCACTCCCCCACGTTCAGGCAGTCTGAGAGCCTCTGCCAAAGGGAGCAAAACAGTTAGGGACAATATTGATAGGAAAAAGCTGTACAAAGCTTGAACCCGGCAGAAAGGCCCCATTGCCTGCTTTTGTTGCGTTGTTTTGCGGTGTGCGGCCCGTAGTGTGGAGACGCGGGGCTGCATGCGGCCACCCACGACAGTCCGGGTATTCAGATCCACTTGAGACAAGCTAAGCAGTGCAGCAGGAGCTTCTTCCGAACCGCAAGAGGCAAGAAGCACTGTCACTAGCAGCGTGGCGTAGGCGTCGTGACGTGGGTGACCTCATGCCAAAACGGCCCCAGATTCTCTGGAGCCAGCATTCCTGAGAGTGTACAGCTTTGGCGATGGAAAAGCCTCTGTGTGGCCAGGCGGCCAGGCAGCATCTGCCGACTGGTGTGTCCGTGACTTTGCGCGGTTCGTGGCACATGCTCGATCTCCGCATGGATCTAAAGCAGTCGTAGTCACAATCTTGGGGAGTTCGTAGTGTTTTGGGGCTGAGAGAATGAAGATCAAGAGCGAAAAAGTTGAGAGCCCTCTCCTTCCCTTCAGGAGCCTGTCCCAGCGAGGGACTTGACCGTGGCCGCCCCCGCCTCTGCTCCTTTGCCAAGGAAGCCCGAGGACACAGACACAGCTTGCTCTGCTGGCTCTGAGCAGGGTTGTGGCGTCTTGACTGTCTTTCGGAGGAGCCCGCCTTGCCGAAGGGGCCTCCACGCCCCGCGGGTGTGAGCACGACCGATGATCTGTTCTTCAGCGACGGGGAGTGAGGGAAAACTGAGAGAGACTGGCTTGCTCCTGTGAAAGGGCACTGCTGCTACGGTTGGGATTGCAGTCGCAGGCTCCTTCCGATTCCAGCAGAGTTGCCGCCGCAGCCATTTTGAGGCTCTGTTCTCCGTTGAGCCCAATTTACGTACTCCTATTTGTGCTAACACTCTCCGCACCTCAGCCCGGCAGAGGCCTCAGAGCATCGGAAGCTTGAAGCGACTTTCCTCAAGCAGAGATCTGTTCTCTGCCGAGGCTGAGCTTGAAGACTGTTAGCCATACATTCTTTCAGGCCGGTGATGGGTGATCGGCGTTGAAATTCGGCTTCAGGTTCAGGTCCATTGAAGCCGTGACGTGTTGAGCTTGACAGCTTGGTTCCGATGTCGCAAGCGGGAGGGCACATCTGTTCCGATCATAGCGCTGACAGTGATCGTAACGATGATGTGGACCATGTTCTCACTCTCGGGGTAAATGAGAAGCAGGTGTCCTTTGAGGAGCTCTCCATAACTTCAACATGACTGCCCCCATGCAGCTCGCTGGCAGTCAATGGCTTCTTTCTTGGTGTTTGAAGCAAAAATCCCGGCATACGAGTAAGAGCGAGGAACAGAGGTCTGATCAAGTTGGCACCATTTGGCAACGGTTCAGCAGCATAGTGACGGTGGCCGCGGCGAGATTCAGTAGATTGCTTGTGCGTCTGGGGAAATGCGCGTTTTTTCAACGGACGTGTTTGATGCGTACTCGGGTGATTGTATAATATGAGTATCTTTGCAGATGTCACAGCTGTCTGTCGGTTGTTCTGTCTGTCCGGAATTTCTGCATTTGCGTGTACCGGCAGACGCTATCTCACGCTGCAGTGGTGACACCATGTTACATGTTACCTAGCACACGGATGGACGAAGCTGCCAATCGGGGGTTTTCCGCCCACTTTTGGTGGATGGCTAAGAATTGAAGAAAGACTAGACCAGGTTGATTGGAGATGTTGCTTTATTCGCACGGCCAGCCTTCAACAGGGCCAGTTCCGGGCTCCCGACTGCCAAGGATGTGGATCGCAATGCAAGACTTGATGCAGGCCTGATCCGCAGTCCTGAGCACGGTTCTCTGTGATGATGCCCCTTTCGCAGGGACACAAATGCTAAGCCACTAAACGGTTCGGATGCTAGGTCCTACTTGTAGGTTCTTAGCCGTTGCGTTTACTGACTGCGGGAATCTGGAGCAAAAGACTAGCCGGAAACCTAGGCAACCGTACCACATCGTTCCACTAACATTGCAAAGGAGCTGTTAAAGAGCCGTAAAAATGCGCTGGTGCTTCGGCGCGCGCTGTGACTGTGAGGTTGCCTTGGTTGTGGCCTGCGTTTTCGCCGGATGGTCTCTCCAGACGCGGCGATCTCAGAGCTGCTGCGTACCAAAACCCAGGTTAAGTCGCGCGTGAACCCAGGTCCGCCTGCTCGTTCCTCCTGCAGCGCATGACCTATCCCCTGAAGAAGGCACAGCCGGTGCTCTCGGCTTTCGGGCCCGGACATGGTTCCTCTCACCCAGCGGGGTCCGTTCAGACCGTGGACTTTACCACGGACCATGATGCCAGCGACTCGACCGAGGAGCGGGCGTCAACGTTTATGGCAAATCCCGGGTGTCCTTAAGAACTCATCATGCCACACGAAAGGTATCGTAGGGCTGGTGCAGATTCCGCCGCATGGAGCAGTGCGTGTAGATATTCCTGTGTGCTTCTTGCTTGCAGTGAAGCAGGAGGACAGTGGGTGCTGCAGTGACTGCAGAGAGGTGGCAGCAGCAGCCGAAGGGTGTGGATTCGGGGCTTTCGGACGAAGTCGAGTCCGGGGCCGTTGTGAGCTTTCAGACGAAAGGCTGGATTTCCAATCAGTTAGAGGACCCCTCAACTCGCTTGTTGCTCTTGGATGGCAAGCAGACCTTTGACGAGGATATCAAACACGAACGGGATTGCATTAGAGTGCGTAGGGCCTACGGTTCTCGACAGACGAATCTCGGCCTCACCAGCAGGTCTTCGTCCAAGACGAGGACAGAAAGTGGCTTGGTGATCTGGCCCATGAGGGTGGCAGAGACTTGCTATGGGGTAACGGGTAAAGGTAAAGGTCTCGAGTCAGGGCACACTACGCCGAAGTAGGCCTGCACAATAGAGCCCTTCTCCTGTGCTCAGTGCGGTGCCCGAGCTTCTACGTGTAACGAGTCGAACCGCGGATGTTGGTCGAACTCGTGAACCGAACATACCGAGGGCCCCCACTGCAGTTGTGCTGCTGGCATTCGCCGCCATCAGCCATTGCACCGGTATGCTTGCCGGCTGGAACCGGGCATTGTGCAAGCCTCGTGAACATGACGCCCGCATGCATGCTTGGACATATCCTTGTCGGTGTTGGTGAACATAGTTCGCGATAGTATGTCACAGTATGAGCGCACACGCATGTCACACATGCCTGCATGCATACACTACTGTTCGACCACTATAATATCATCGTTGCCTTCATAGACTTCATGATGTACTATGTGTTAGACATACATGATGCCTTCTTAGAAGGCTCAGTCTCGAGTGCAGGACATTCCTCAGGGTCTTAAGATCCTTGAGCTGGCACCTCAGGGGACGGAGAGAGGGTCGGATCAGCAAACCCGGAAGTGGTTAAAAGCGTTGCAAGCTGGTGCCGCCGACGTAGTTGCCCGGCCAGTTTGTTTGAGAGACGTGCTGAAACGTAGCCCTGGTTGGTGATGTTAAAGCACACATTGGGGGATGGATTGCTGAAGCATCCCTCGCCAATCTCAAGGCAATATGGCGCCTTTGGTGCAGCACCAGGTGCGTGGACGATCCTCGCCTCAATTTGTGAGCCAACCTGCTTCTTCGTGTCTGTGTGAACTCAGCCAGTCTCAATACTCGGCTTTTCCCAAGGAGCAGGGTTGCGCACAAGGCCGCGGACGGGTGAAAGTCGTTTGCAGTTCTGATGGTTAAGCACTTGCACTCCGCTTGACAGATCGGATTCCTCCTGATGATGAGACTCTGAAAAATAGTTAGCTCACCACATCTGGAGGTCTTGTGTTCTGCTGCCATGAGTTACTGTGTTTGCACGCCGCGTAGTTGGGCTAAACGCCCGGTCGTGGAGGCCAAGGCTTGAAGACGGAAGAGCTACTTGGTCCAGCATTCAGCGGTGATTAAAACCCGCGTCGCTTTACCGGTACAGTAGGAGCCGGAGATCCCTTCGTGCCAGTCCGAAGGGCTCACGGCTTGGCGTTCGTCCTGAAATGCCAAGGCTTCGAGGAGGTTTGACCTGTCATTGAAGCTGCATCCTCAGACCAATTTACACGTACTGGCTGTACTGCTGTTTCACGAGAGTTGAAGCAGCAGTTTCGGTAACGGGCCGCGCAGAAGGAGCACTAGCGCCAAGGACCAGTCCATATTCGCTTTTGCCACCTCGGTGGCCAGTCTTTGACTGCTGCCATGTGGCTTCAGCGGGCCTGCGTAGGCTGGCTCGGGGCCATTGGGCCAGGATCGCGACGTTTTGTTGAAGCGGTTGAGCTCGACAGGCTGATGTCTGCGGCTTGCCCTTCCATATCCAGCCCAGCACTGAGCTCAACCTGCGAAGGCTGTGTGCTGTCTCTGCATGTCGCTGATGTCTCAGTGGGAGTGTCGAAACATCCAAGGCTGCACCAGGCTGCGGCACAACTTGAGAACAGACATCCATATTCACGACTTACCTGCGATAGCATTTCGCTGAGACCAGAGTCGCTACCACTCGATTCTTTGGTCTACGTTTTCGGCCTGAGACCGGCCAAGGAAATGTGAAGCAACTGAAGGTTGTTGTTTTAGGCCTCCCAGCTTGTGTGGATCTGTAGTTCGATCGTCTCTGTGTCTGTGTCTCAAATGGGTACGTACGTTGTAGCTCTCCGGAGCGTCGCATGGGATGGACCGATCCTTCCCAAAGTTTGGCCGCTCTGCAGTTAACACGGCCTGCGATGTACAGCGAGCCACTTTGAGCTGAGACATGCCAGCACCGGTGGCCAAAACAGAATTGCGCTGTGCGCGTTCTCCCGTTGCAGATAAGTCCGTGGCCACGATTTGGCTTCTCCGCCTCCGAACTATGATATGTGAGCTTTAGTACGCATGCTTATCGATATTGCCTGTTTGGCTTGACCGTTCCTGCTCCATCCTGTACGGAACGGGTAGCGCTGAAGCCGTGCATCCAACAGGACCCCCGAGAAGAGCCGTCGCTTTCGCTCCTCGAAGGTGGCTCATCAGCGGCAGAAGCTCATCGACCAGAAAGAACCACCTGGGAGCCTTCAGATCATGGCTCAGTTCGCCCAGCACCCAAAAAAGCCAGAAACCGCGTACGTGCCATGGCCCTGGCGGCCCGGTTTTCGGGGGCCAAAGCTTCGGCCTCCAGCCGAGGCCCAGGCTACAGACACCAACGACCACGTTCGTCCTTTAGATGAATCCTCCTCCTGCGCCAGGCCTGCGGTCTGGCAGTACGAGACTTCGGACACGGGCAGCAAAGATCTGCCTCGCCGTGGCCATCACATGGGGCTCCGGGCTTCCCTTTGCCGGAAGTGCGGGCCGCTGCCAGCCCCGCGCAAATCGGAGTGGCGCTGGGCGTGCGGCAGAAGATACGATGGGCGAGCTGTTTACCAAGTACTACCGACTCCAGGACGGACTTGGCAGGTAGTTGGTCACGCACAGTGTCTCGGAGCCCAAAGTGCCCCCGCACGGTCCTAGACAGTTTCTGACCCGACTCTCCGAGAAGCCCTTAAGGAGGTGAATCGGAACCTCGAGGCCTGTGGCTGAGACATCGGCTGTTGTGACACGACCAAAGCTGTGAGCCCACGGAATGGAGCATTACATAATATGAAAAGTTGGGCCATTTGGGAGGCAGAGACGAAGGTTGCTGTGGTCTCCGAACTGCTCGAGGCTTCCGAGAGTGATCGGATGTTTCGTGCACAAGGATTGCGCCATGATGCTGCAGCTCGTGAAGCATACCGCCCACTCTTGCCGAATAATTCCAGTAGGCATTCACATGTGAGTCCATCTATGTATGTCTGTATGTATGCGTGTATCCATCCATCCATCTATCTGTCTATCTCTTTCTCTCCATCTCTTCATCTCTCCATCCATCCATCTATCCATCTATCTAGCGTATCTACCTACGTGCAGTCACACACACAAAATTTAAGTGCATAATCACTATATCAGTATCTCCGTATACATATATACATATGCACACACACACACACGCACAAATTAGCCAGACATACCCATTTACAGCTCATTAGTTCGTTTCAGAGGTCCTGGATGACCTCGAGCGCGGGGCAAGCCAGGACGGCGGCACTGGCGGAGTGTCCACTTTAAGGTGTCCCGGCAGCAACCAGTTGAAACGAATCGGAGACCCCGACCCTTTGCAGGTCTCCACAACGCACGAATGGCGCTGCAACTCCGAAACTCTCCGAGTTTTCTGGAAAGCGCCTAAACCCTAAACCTAGTGACTATAGTGTCACGGAGCAAATCCCAGAGCTTCCCTGATTTAAGAGCCTTTCAGGAGCCTGGCCGACAAGTTCCAAAGCCGGCCGGCGCCTTCAGGTTCTACATTCTTGCATATCTTGATAATTCAGCCCAGAACTCCACACAGTGGGGTCCGCCTCAGCACCTGCCTAAGGCTGGAGTCACTCGGCTTTGAGAGGATAAAGGCTCGACTCGCAAGCTTTCTGCAGTACGCATCCGTCTCTCTCTCTCTCTCTGTATCTCTTTCTGTCTCCCTACCAGTCCCCCCTTGATTCGGCAAGTCCCCAGCCGTCCCCATCTTTGCAGAACAGGCCCTGGGAGCTGTTTTCGATCCAGCGGAGCACGAGGCCGTCGACGATCGGGGATCACCAGGCTCCCAAGGTAAGGGCCAGGCAAGGCATAGTGATTTCTCTGCTCCTTGCATGATGCTTACCATGTGAGGCCGTCGTAGCATTCGCACCTCTGAGAGAGTTCTGAGTGCCTTTTGACGAGAGCAGATCGGAGGAAGATGATATCTAGAGACCTCGGTGGCAAGACCTCCTTGCTTGGTCCTTGCAGGCCGCCTCGCAACGCGCGGCAGAGGGCCAGGCTGAAGGCACGGTCTGCGAGGAGCTGAGGCGCGAGGGCACCAAGAGTTTCAGCCTCTCCTTGCATACCTGAGCTCGACCTCCAATCGATGAACACAAGTCGCTGACGGCCACGTGAGTGATGTTGTGTGCCCGCAAGCGTGATGCAGGTCCGGTTGGAAGCTGAGTGACCGTGCCTCGCTCAAATGAAAGATTTCATGGTCCAACTGCTTGCCATGGCCAGTAGGACCGGCATGCACGTCCCCCGGATTCCTGGACACGAGTGAATCTGCGATTCCTTGCAGGCATAGTTCGGCCATCAGTGGTCATCGTGGCATCCTGAGATTTGCGTGGGCCGTAGGAGACCGGATAGTGCTGTCCGGTCAAAGACCGCACCCGCACCAACGGACAGTTGAGAAAGGGAAGGGAAGCTTACTGTACCGAACATGGGCACAGGCGTGGCCAGGCACGGAGCAGAGTTTCATGGTCGCTGCCGCCGTTTCCAGAACTGGAGGAGGCGGATGGAAGCCCCAATGAAGGTCGCCATAGTCCAGAGAAGTGTACCAGAACAGAAGCACCAGAAGCCTGAAGGCCAAAGATGTCCGACCCACGCAGGGACCTGGCCCCTTCAGTCTCAGAAAACACGGAGCCTGAGGGCAGTAAAGCCGAAACCATGGCACAAAGCCGAGCTATTCGATTCGTGACCCCCGTCTTTGTCTGAGCTATGGCAAGCCATCCGCTGGACACGGCATCTTGCCCCAGCCGCCGCTTGCAGTGATTGTTGGCTGGGCTTGGAGATTGGAATTCGGGAAAGCCTCTTGGGTGTTTCGGGGAGCCGTTGTGTCCGGTCTTTGTAGTCAGGGCATCACGCAGTGCTAACACTCGCTCGCTCTCGGGCCCTGCCGTCACCGTCGAAGCTCGGACGGCGCCTCTTCACCCACTCATCACTCGTCGGGCCTGTACCTGCTTGCCCATACACCGAACGTTTAGCTGCTTCGCCTCTGGAGGCTTTCGGAATTGTGTCAAGTGCGATTGGGTACGTAAGCAAGCAGTTTATTTGAAGATTTGGAGGAATGCTGGGAACAGTAGCAGTAGCATGGGAACGTTGACGAAAACTGTGACACGACCTCGAAATGGTGCTGAGGCTTTTGGCTGCTCTGGCTTTGGCCACTCTTGCGCAAGGGGTCGCAGAAGCCTCTCAAAGAAGAGGATATGTACGAGTGACTCGGAAGCAACCGGCCAACGAAGGCCATGAGTGACCACAATTTTCTCCGTATAGACATGAGTAATCTGTGGTTGCCCGTGCTTCGAATACTTCAGGATTCCTGAGTGCCTGCGCACTGCAGCTCTGGACCCGTGCTGGTTTAAGCGTCTGAACAAGATGAAGGTGGGGTTTGCCAGAGCTATGGATCCTGACTGTCTTGCCAAATTCTGCGGACACAGCCCTGAAGGTCGAGGGACGGGCAGATCACATCTCAGTCCTCTGGCTGCTCATGCGCACCTTCGGATGGAGATACGTATTCATCCTCGTAACGTTTTCCGTCTGGCTTGCAAGCTTGTCGCTGCTGCCCTTTCTCACCGAAAGTCTGTTTGAATGGCTTGCAGAAGGCCAGGGAAGAGATGAAAGTTATGCATGTGATGCCACTGCCTGTCGATGCCTGCCGGACGGATGTAGTCCAGTGGACCCTGATTTCTACAGGCAGCAGCATCGTGGCCGGACTGGGATGGTGTGCAATTCTCGTGGGAAGTCGCGGCCTCAGCTAGCGTGCTCTTGGGACGAGGGCTGGCCCTTCTCGCACCTTAAGGCTACCTCGTGAACTGCAATGCAGCTTGCCAGTGGTATCAGCAGACCACCTTCCTGGGTTGTGAGCTGCGTGCCTCTGCAGCTATGCTTGCAACTTGGCTAAACACAGCCTGACACAGCCTGCTTGCTGGCTCGGCACCGGATTAGAGCGAGCAACGACCCGCCGCTCTTAACCCATACACCGTGTGGCGTGGCGTCTCGCCGATTCTTGCATTCAGGTCTTCCGCCGGGCACTGCAGCTTCAGGTCCAAGATTCGGACAAGGACGTGGCGCTAAACCTGATGCAGGCGGCAGATTCGCCAAGTTATGCGTGCAGAGACCGAGGGTGAAGGGACTTGCTTTTGTACGGATTTAATATTGGGGGTTTCGGGTTACTGCCGGGGGCTTGCTTTCTTGTTCAAGTGTTTTTGAAGGACAGGGCTTCACTTTAGGAGTGCAGGCCCGTTGGGTTCGCAGAGTCGGTTCTTGGGGTCGGTTCGAGGCCGAGTCCCACTCTGAAATCCACGTTTTTAAATCAAAGTAGTCTGCGGAAGCATGAGAGCAGACGATCCGGAAATCGTGCAGATGTCTGACAGATCAGATGAACAGATGTCGAATATCACTCCTGACAACATCTAGCAACTCCCGAGAGACAAGTTGCCCTGGGTCCCATTCGCCTTGCGACAGTCTCTTAATTTTAACGCTACGCCGCCCCCCCCGGCTGTTTAGCGGCAGGGCGAGGGGGCAGTCGATGTTGTTCACATGCCAGGGGGCAGGGGGGCCTCTCAACCCCAACCTTTACACGGTTGTTGACAGCCAAGTGCGAGGAGAACGGGGCAAAGGTGGGGTGGAGGGGGGGGAAGGGGGAGTGGGGGGGGGGGGGGGGGGGGAGAGGGGGGGGGGGGGGGTGGGGGGGAGGGGGGGGGGGGGGGAGGGGGGGAGCGGGGGAGGGGGGGAGGGGGAAGGGGGTGGCAAACGAACGCAAAAAGCGGGTGTCACGAAACATTTGGGCTGCAGGGAGGAGGATTAGGTGGAGGGTAATTACCTGATTTAACCATCAAGACGCCTGGGCCTCTGGCCTCGGCGGATTTTGAAGTTGAGTGGAGTGCCCTGAGTCAGGTGGATGCTGAGAGATTGTACATCTTTGCGCAGTTGAACCACCTGCTGTACGTGGCTTCTTGACCTCAAGCAAAGCCTTACCCTCAATGCAAACCAGGCCTTCCCTGGGCTTGGTAGCTTAAGTGGACGAGAACCCGGCAACCTGTCTGCGACTGAACGGCTCGACAGCAGCCCAGGCCCTTGTCGTGCTGCTTACGACATCGGCATACTTGAGACTTGGACCGAAACTTCGATCTTCACTCCCCGTTTCACTCGCTTCCAGAGCATATAGTAGCTGGCAAGCACCAGGATAGCATTGGAGGGGCCCGCTGTGGCAGCGATGGCGATGTCCGTTGTGATTGCCACTGACTCAGAAGCGAAGCTTGCATGGGGGTGTCGAGTTGGCAGTAAGTGGAGCTTGAGAGGTGTCACTGAATGTCGGCCGATGTCTGCCGATGCACAGGGATGTTTGTCTCGTGTCTTTTGCTCGTGCTTTGTACTCGAGCCTCTTACATCCTGGCATGTCGAAGGGCCCCAGGTTTCCGGATGTTTCTGTGATGCTTGATGCGAGACTCCAGTAGCATCACCTGCGCTGCCAGAATCTGTAGCTCGACGTAGAGAAGGTTCCAACAAACCAGCGTCTTGCACCGAAGAGTCGTTTTTGAGGCGACAAAGCAGCCCCGGCCGGGGGGGGGCCGCCCTTCCTGAGGCGACCTTGCTTCTCCAGAGTCTCGTGAGTCGCCGGGCGTCCCCGGCACGGCGGAGGATGCAGCAGCGCCTGGGCGAAGAGCCGTGGAAGGGCTTCTTTCAACCGCTCTTTCATGCTTTGCCCAAAGAAAGGAGAAAGATGTAATCGGATGTACTGTAATTGGGTGGATCCCTGCAAGGTGCTCTGACGAGCGCATCTCGCTCTTGGCCGAAGTGCTCGATGCGGCGACCTCAGAATGCACGGCACGTAACGTGGGATCTCAACTGGACGAGAGCCTTCGTTCATTGCCTGCCCCTCCCTATAGCTCATTCATAGGGTGAAACTGAACACGATGAGTTTTTGGGCAGCCCACTCACGTCCCGCAATTTCGGAATTCGGATTACGTTCGAGTGGGCTGTATTCCACCAGCGTTTGCAGGCGGTGCGGGTTCTGAAGATGTATGGCTGGGCCCAGTACCTGCAAGGCCGAATCGAGGACAGCCTTCAACGGAGAGTTCAATGCTACCGGATGGGAAGCCATGGCCTGC